AAATTCCACATTTACTGAGTGTTTTTGATATTGATGCTTACTGTGATAAGTCACTTTAATATTTTGTGGGAAACTTTTAAGTTTCCACCGTGGAGTTCCCCAAATGGAAATGTAGTATTGTATTGACACAAAACAGGAAACATATGATACAGTATTACACCTTTTAGTTTAGTGGAGTTCTTTCTTTCTATTGTTTTGTTTCAGCATCACATTACATTTACATTTTAGTCATTTAGCAGACGCTCTTATCCATCACATGTTAGCCCTCAGTATATTCAGATTTCTGTTGTTTTGTTTCAGCATCACATGTTAGCCCTCAGTATCTTCAGATTTCTGTTGTTTTGTTTCAGCATCACATGTTAGCCCTCAGTATCTTCAGATTTCTGTTGTTTTGTTTCAGCATCACATGTTAGCCCTCAGTATCTTCAGATTTCTGTTGTTTTGTTTCAGCATCACACGTTAGCCCTCAGTATCTTCAGATTTCTGTTGTTTTGTTTCAGCATCACATGTTAGCCCTCAGTATCTTCAGATTTCTGTTGTTTTGTTTCAGCATCACATGTTAGCCCTCAGTATCTTCAGATTTCTGTTGTTTTTTCTCTCTGCAGGTTTCTTACTCCCTCGATAAGAAGAGTGATCTGCTCCAATAACAACAGTTCTCAATGTGAATCCCCTCCCCTTCCCCGTCGCCTAGGAGACTGCTGGACAGACACACTGTGACTCTATGGCCAGTACAGAACTGACCCCTCACCCTGACCTACCCCTCTACCCCCACCACCTCCAGTACCTCTCAACAGCCCTCAACACATCTCAACTCAAACCAGTCAAGTACCACAGTGTGCCAAAACTCATTAAAAGCAATCTTCAGGGAAACTACATTTAATGCTGATCTATCTATTTATCTCCACACACACACACAATATGCTCCAAGACAAGACCAGACAGACACAGACACACACATTCACAAATACACACTCACAAACTCAACCAACCTCTGCTTTGTCCTCACAGACAGACAGACCGACAGACAGACATGCTTATCTGCCAACCTGATGTTGAGGGGAAGACACAACACCTCTGTTGCACAACTATCCAATCAGGAAAAGCTGTTGCTCTCAACACGCCCTCTCACTCTCTGTGGCATCAATGGAAACGGCTGTATATGGCACCCACAGACGTTTGGCCTTCCATCCTTTGGCTGTGCCTCAGTGATTGAGCTGCTGTGATTGGCTGAGCTCCAGGGCTGCTGTGACTTGGGATTCCCTCCTCCTGTGTTATAGGACAGCAGATCCAGGTCTCCTCCCATCTGTTTGGGCTGAGTGATTGTACACCTGGACATTTCGGGGAGCAAGCTGAGGGAAGAAGGGGCGAGGGGAAGTCAGTCCTCATCCCCCTCTCCCACTCTTTACCCCTCCTCAACAACTGTGTCTACCAGTGCCTTCACCTTCGGATCCTAATGGCCTACCAGGGCAGAGTCAGGACAACAGAACAGAACAGTATGATTGGTGGGTGGGGGACAGAGGGAGGGAGATCAGGTATCAGTCTATACTATAGCCTCCCTCCCAAGCCCTTCCCTCTGTGTGTTGTTGACTGGATGTGGACAGACGGAGAGAGACCCAACAGAGAGCCAGACTCTGAATGTGAAACTCTGCTTAACTCTAACCGCTACTCCACTGGGACATGACTGTAACTCGCCCTGGCTGCTAGCCACACTGAAATTAGAAGTGCCCTGCTATACGCTGTCCCACTACATGGTGGCGCAAAAGAGCCCCCCCTCGCTCTCTCTTTCTCACTCTCTCCTTTCCCCTGACTAGCTATCTAACTCACAATCCCTCAATGCCTCTGTGATAGCAACATGACATGAACTGGACTGTGCTACCAGAAGCGCGTGGCTCGGCTAGTGGCAACTACAACTCCCAGCAAGCACTTCTCTGGAGTGAGAATGTTCGTCATAGTTTTTGTAGCAGCAATACCTGTCTGTCTGGGACATGAGGCCCTCTGTGCTTAGCCTGGATCCCAACTGAATTACTGTGTTTCACAATTGTTTTACTGTACACCTTCAGTCTGGCAATTGTGAAGAGGAGCAATTCAGTTGGGATCCAGGCTACAATGTGCTGACCCCAGATCAGATATCCCCCTCCCCCAGGGTGACATTACATGGTGTATATACTCCAGCCTTCTATAGGGTTTACACACCCATCCTCTTCTCTCACTCATTATTTATCATCATGAGACTTATCAGTTATTATTATGCAAATGATTTGTTTTAAGTGTGCAGATTTGACATAATGGTGTAATTTCATATGTGTGTATGTATGTGTGAGTTATAGTAAAACTAAGTTGGGCCTTAATGCAAAAAGAATGACAATAACAACTATATGTCTTCTAGTCATGTTTGTCCATTTCAGTTCTGTTTCAATAGCTGCCTGAGATAGCACACTTTTTACCCAATCATAATCATCTACCAATCAACCAATCAGCCTATCACAGTAGAGGTGGGAGGGCGGACCAGGAAGTTGGGGATTGGCGGAGCTCCATGCCAAAGCCAATCAGAATAAGGGGAAGACTGATGTATTCAAAAAATGTATCATTAGAATGTTGGATCCCCGAAACTTTGTCAGTGTGTTTGAGTGTTTTACACATTTCTTATCGAATACATTTCAGCTTCCAGCAACCCTGTGTTGTAATATTTAAACAAGGCCTTGATGTTGTTCTCTTTAATGGTTTGAGAGCTTTCCCAGGATGCGCTGCTAACTAGTATACTGAGGTTCAGAAAGACCTCCATCTCCTCCATTGGGTTGTGAATACGGGCAGAGTAAGAAACTGATAGACAAATTCAATGAATAAGATGAAAGGCTTTATTGGCTATGCTTTTTTACAATTATTGTGGGGGGTTTTCAATCTCCAGAGTTTAGAGATTTTAGATTATAGTATATTATTATGACAGATCTAGGAATAAGATACATATTATTTATATTGGTTGCCCAATTCAAACTAGTAACAACCAGACAGACAAAATAACAAAGAGCATTTATAGGGGATCTGGGTATTATGGTTTGGATGTACTAAAGATAGTGTTACCATGGCAACTGGGTCAGCTACACCCTTTAAACTGTGGTTTCTCCAAAAGTGCCATCGTCATGGCTCTACAATGTGCTGCTAACAACTTATTTTTCAAGAAGTAAAGTGAGGCATAAAGCACTTTGGAATTGGACAATAAAAAGCCCCCACCCAAATGGACTGTTTCCCCATTTGTCATCATGTACTATAGCTAATAAAGTTTTATTTAAATCCATGGGATTTTCTCCTCATTGCACGTCAGTGAGGGAGAAACTATAATATCTGGTCTGGTTTGTCCCATGGCTACTGTACTATAAGCAATGTGATTTTGAAATGTTGTCTAATGGCTCACGATTGTGAAGCATACTACTGTATGTGTACAATATGCCCATATTGTCATGGGTATATGTGTAGCACAGAGGACCCTCCCTAGATAGCCTACCAGAACAGCCTTATATGAGCCACTGTAGCTAGAATCAGTTTTAAAGCACATTCTCCCCCCATTTCAGTTTTGTTAGTCTTTTATTTTGGATGTTTGGGTTTCTTTGGGGGGCGAGTGGGGAGAGAGCCTAGCACCTAAACTGATTTCGCTATGTTTCACTGTAGAGAATTCAGTTTGGATGTCAGGCTAGTGGGAAGGGAGGGGGGTTTTAGGGTCATTCTATGTGTAAATGTTTTGGTTTTGCTGCTTATGCTACAGTTGCCAGATCTGAGCCCATAACAATCCAATTGGATCGATGTCTATCCAAATCTACCGTGTTGAAAAAAAGCTCCATATGGATTGACTTGATGCAGTGTTTAAAACAGTCAACATATAGGAATGTGGGATGTGTTAGAGAACACACCCATGTCATCAGGTAGAGAGCTATACTTGATGTTCCATTCATGATACTATAATATACCATGACAGCGAACATACTGTAGATTATTATTATTAGTTGGGGATGAGCTTGCTTGAATGAAGGTGGAGGTGTAGTAGGGCTTTAAGTAATAGTTGAGAGGTATTTGGGTTAAACCCCCCAAGGTACTTCAGAGACAGGCCGACAGTACATGCCTAGAAATTTTATTTTAGAAACTATTTAGACATACAGTATGTTATAACATTCCATTTATGTAAAAATATGTACAGAATGACATTAAAAGAGCAAAACTTTTGGAGCACATTCTTTTAATTGTATTAGTGTGAGTTAGTGTCTTCTGCTATTTGTTTGTTCCTATCACCACCTGCTAACCTACATTCATTAGTCACCATGACCACAAACTGACCATAACATGGCTGTCAGTACATATCATACAGTTCCAGTTCTGGCCAGTATACAAGAATAAGGGAATGAGGCAGAAAAATCAGAGGGGTGAGAGTTAGGGCTAATGATAAGGGAGGTTTGAGAGCAGTGGCCTAGTCTCCAGTTAATTGCAGGCACCACATTCATTCTGTATATTTACACAGTGCTGTGTTGTTGTAGTGCAGGAGAAATTCAATACTGCAATTCAGCACCAGTAAAGTAATTATTTTCTTTCATTTGGCCAACAAAAGTGGTTTTGATTAAAACAATGTATTTGCTTTGCATAATGATAAGATGTCCCATGGTTAACTGAAAGTGCTTAAACAAGGGACAGTTTGCCCTTACTGTATAACTTAATTTGTTCCAAAACTAAAGTCGAGCTAATAAAAAAGTTACATTGAATACTTCCTCTCTGAGAAAGGCACCTCCGGTTTCAAATCCCTTAATAGAAAGAGATTCATTATGGACAAATATATGACTGCAGGAAGTGTTTTTATGGGTCAAGGCTTTTACCCATATGCCAGATTCACCTAGCTAATACAGTCCGTTCAAATATTTACAAAATGTAGTATGCAAAAAACACACAGACGTGACCAATCTACACACACGCGCGCGCGTGCGTGCGTGCACTGACACACTCTCCAGCTCAGTTGTGTTTCCTCAGTGGAAGCGTAGCCTTCCCTCAGCCTCAAACAGCTTCTCTTCCTCTTCAGAAAGACAGTTTCCTTTCAAACTATGGGTGAGTGATGACAGAGCACATGATAATCAGGAACCAGCAATGCATTCAAAGACCCACAACCATTACAAAGTGGAAATGGTGAAAGATGTATTTCAGGAATATATCAAATACTATTATTAACCTGGTACAAAAAAATAGAGTAATGTGCCTTTAAACGAAAGACATTGCATACACTCACCTGATCTCTTTGAGAGATGTGTTGTTGGAGAGAGCCTCTGACAGCGTTCTGATTCCATCCACTGTCAGCTGATTCTTGATTAACCTGCACAGAGTGATCACTAGGTTAACCGGCTAACTTTTATTAACATTCAGAAATAACTTTTGTTTACTTTCTGGTTCATTCTGAAGCTAAACATAATTATTGGTTGTTGGGGGGAGTGTTGAGACTGTGGCCTGCCTTACCAGAGGTGAGATAGACCCGTGTTGGATCTGATCAGTTCTGCCAAGTCTGGTGCTACATCATCTGACAACTTGTTTTGCACCAACCTAGAACAAAACACCACGTATAAACTGTTAACTCCAAGGCACAAATACACATTAAATATACAGATACACATACTGTCACCAGAAACTGTATGAATTAATAAGATTGTCCTACCAGAAGATTCTGAGCATTGTGTTGTCTTTCAGCGCTTCGGCCAAGCTCCTCCCACCTTCTGAAGTGATGCCATTGGCTGAGAGACTAAGGGAGAGAAGAGCATAGAAATATAATTATTATTAGTAATACATAAGTATACTGTATTACTTTAAGTAATGATATTACTATGAGGCAGAGTGATATACTGTAAAATAGATACTGTAGTTTCAGTGTTTGTGAGTAAGGGAGTTCAGTAACCCATACTGTAGCTGAATGTGCGTTAGAAAAATGATACACCAATGGGTTATACTTCCTTATTTCTGACCTGAACCACAGTTGTGGGAGAACTGAAAATGACATGGCACAATCAGTGCCACATACTTATTCAGAGAAACGATAACGATGACATATCTTGCCATCTATCTCACCTGAGGTTGGTAAGACTTGGGTGATTCCTCAGGGCCTCTGCGAATGCTCTCGCTCCTTCATCACCAATGGTGTTCCCCCACATTCTGAAAAACAGGAACAATCCATCCCATGCACTCTGATCCAAAATTGAATAAAAAATATTGCAATAGTGCACTTACCCCACGTCAAAGATAGATGTGCTCTTCTGAATGGCACTGGCTAGATACCTGCCACCCACACTGGTGAACTTGTTGCTGCCAAGCCTTTGAACAAATCAAAGTGCCAAAAATAAACATTTTAATTTATACACAAGTAATTATATCATTGATTGGACATATTAATTTACATACTTGACGACTCTTAACTTAGGACATTCCTCAATGATATGAGCGATTAGCATTGCTCCGATGTCCGTGATGTGATTATTGTAAAGTCTGTAAAATCAAGACAAAATAAATAGTCACGTCATATGAATTTCATCATTCAGCACAATACTGTACTGAAGTTTGACAGGCAAGTTGACCCTGATAGACACTGACTCACCCCAGAACCTTCACCACTTTGTGTTTGATAAGCTCCTCAGCCAGTACCTCAACGCTGCTGTCTGAGATCTGATTGACACACAACCTGAAATGGAAAAAACTAATTTGGCTGAAAAGTTATACTTTATAGTTAGTTATACTAGTATTTTTTTATAGCAGAAAGACATGATTTGCAAATGTTACTTGTAAACAAGTGTACCTTTTATGTAAACAGTGGCATAAAGTACATAGTGTTTCCATCTGCATGTATTCCTAATTCCTCACCTCACCACAGTCATCTTACTGAATGAAGGCCTGAGCTGCTTGACCCCATAGTCACTGATGTTGTTGTTGTCCATGTCCACCCCTAGCCTCTTCCGCCGGTGCTGCAGCACAAAGTTGAGGGCGCTGCAGTCGCCAGAGAACACATTACAGTAGCCCAGCTTGATGTAGTCAGCTGTTATGCCCTTCGCAGTCAGCTGGGCCACCTCTTTACTTCCTGTCTCGAAGATGCAGCGCAGCATCCACAGGAAGTTGGGCAGGACGTGCACCTTGCTGCCCTCCTGCTCTGTGCTGTGGAGTGGCAGGCCGCGGAGGTGGGACCTCACGCTGGTGGACAGGTAGGACTTGAGGACCGCCCGCTTCCTCTTCAGTAGCGCTGGAGGAACAATGTGCTTCAGCAGGCCGGCGTTGGCCTTAGACAGCAGTCCACACAGGAAGAGGTTGGCGAACTGGAGATGCTCATTGGTCTTGAACGGGTCCTTTCCTCTGGGTTTAGAGGAACCACAGATGTAGGGGACGACACACGATAAACAAGATGTGTTGTCCCTCTTGCTGCACTCTGTAAAGAACTTGAGGATGTTGCCTACGGTGGCCTGTTCGTCCAGAACCAGGGAGAATGCAGCCAAGAAGGACTGCAGGGTGAGGTGCAGGAACTCAAAGGTGGAAGGGTTTCCACAGGCATTGTAGTGGCTGACTGGTCGGAGGAAACCCATCTGAAGGTCCTCCTCAGTCAGGCCACAGGAGGCCACCTCCTCCTGGTTGAACACGAAGCCTCCTCTCTCCATGCCCAGCAGAGCCAGCTTGGAGAAGGCTGTCAGCGGCTTCAGCCCTGCCCTGAAGGTATCAGCGGGACACCTGGTGTTTCTCTTCAGGAGGCTAGGTGGGGGAGCGGCCCCCCGGCTGAAGAAGAGTTCAGACAGCAGGAGGAATACGTTAGTGAGGGTCACGCAAACCTCTGGCAGCTCAAAGTCATCGTAGACTGAGCGCAGGTGTTTAAAGCTCTTGAAGACGATCCAGCAGAAGAGGGGGATGGAGCAGAGGCCACAGAGGTGGGGGCTGGCGTCCATCTGGACTGAGACCAGGTCCCGGTGCTCCTGGTCCTTGAAGTGCAAGTTGGTGTAGGTCTGAAGGTGGGCCGGAGAGAACCCACGCAGGGCCACCCTCTTCCGGATCACCCTGCTCTGGACCTCGGTGCCTGTCCGAGCCGTAAGAACCTTCCGGGAACCATTAAGCAGCTTCCCACAGAGCAGGTTAATGAGCACCAGAAGGGGGTGAGTCCTCTCCTCTGGAGAAACCACGTCAGGCACGTTCTTCAGGTCCAGATCATCCTGGATCTCATCATAGCCGTCAAACGTAAAGATAACCTTTTCAGGGAAGCGGAGGATATATCTGAACACCTCGTTATCCTCATCCTGGTCAGGGTAGCAGTTATATTTGAAGAGCAGGTCCCTGAGTGAGATCTCATCTGTCTCCTTGAATGTGCTAAACATCCTGCAGCTGAACTTGAAGAAGAACATGGCGTCTGTCTGTTCCAGCTCCCGCTTGGACCACAGCCTCTGGAGCTTCTGGAGGAGGATAGACTTGCCCACCCCAGCGTCCCCAGTGACGAGCACCGTCTCGGCCTCGGGGTTAAATACACCCTGCTCTCCCAGGAGCTGCGCCAGACCCTCCAGGTGGCCCAGGCTCTCATTGCGGTCATTCAGGAGCTCCATCAGGGTGTCTGTATAGAGCTCCTCCAGGAGGGTCTCCTCTCGCTGGGCATAGGAGGCAATGAAGCGCGTGTCTCGGCCCAGCTCGTGCCTCAGCTTCTCACAGTACCTACTAACTGAGAAGAGAGGGGGGTAGTGAGAATACACTGCAGTCTCATTCTCAACCACTGATATTCAGCCAAAATATACAGTAGTTGCCCTCGTGATTCTCTAATAGCTTACATTTCCAATGCACTGTATTTTTTATTTTATAATATTCCAATAGCACATGAAGTGCAGCACCATACAGTCTACTGACATACTTACTAGGGTCTGTGTTCTTCACTGGTATGTCCTGTATGGAGTCTGGTGGCTGGTAGTTGATCTCTTTAAGCCATGGTTGGAGGTCTATGTATGCATCATAAACTTTGTGGAGAATATATAGGAAGTATTCACATGCCTGCTCCCCTTTGCTTTGGACCAATTCCAGGATTTTACGCACCTGTGCAATGTCAATCATAAGTAAATCATATTTACTTTACAGTGATTAATATTTAATAATAATTTAACAGCTAACCATTTTTCTATCTCACTTTCTACATTGATTAATGTGGCCAAACAGGATTCTGCCAGCATACCAAATGCCATTGTATTGCAAAATAAAGTATTGTCTTTATATTTTCTCATCTTAAAATAAATTAGTCAATTTGAGTTAGGGCCTTGTAGGCAAGAGCATGTCTTTGTGATGGCTACTTTGTAATTTGATATGTGGTCCAAATGGACATGTCTCCTCTTTGAAACCCTCCTATGGTAAATTACCTGGTCTGTCTTGGTGGCTGAGCGCTGGATGATTTCTGCATCCTCGGTACACAGAAAACCACTTTGTAGGAGGTTATCCAGAATGCACTGCGTGCTCTTCACCTGGGAGACCAGTAGCTCACGGTGCAAGGTGAGAATTTGGACAGTGGACACACGGCCCATTAGTCCGGCACGGCCTTTCTCGGCACTGGAGCCCATAAAATGCATGGTTTCAGCTGCCTGTATTTACTGGGAAAATGTAAAGGGGAATTAAACTGCGTGCTACATATTTATCTAGTATAGAAAATTATAGTCAGATAATAATCATCAGTTAGGAGAAAAGGATCCAACAGTTGGCTATGGATAAAAGACGTGGATGTGTTATCTATATGGGCTATATTTACCTTCAAACGCTTTGATAACATTGTTCTTATCGGCTCTGGCCTAATCCGCCGCAGAAATACTCGGAAACCACAGCTCTCCGCAAAAACAAACTCCAGTCTTGGTTATTAAATCGTTAAATAGCGTACGACAGGATATTAACAAAACTTTTCTCTAGGACCGTTAGAAGAGTGATCTAGTCTAAATAAATGTCAGGAGAGAAAAAACACTGAACACAGTAGTGACTCGTTACCGTATTTCTTTAAGGAAGTGAAACCAAAAACAGCCTTGGATGCGCGTAATTTCACCTCGGATTGCGACCGCGCTTTTGGCATGCTGCACTATCTGCCTCTTTTACATAGGGTTTTCACCACTCCTGAACTGTTCCACTGGTAAATCAGGATTTCCCAAACTCGGTCCAGGGGCCCCATCTGGATGTACGTTTAGTTTTTTGCCCTAGCACTACACAGCTGATTTCAATTTCCAACTCATCACCAAGCTTTGATTATTTGAATCATCTGTGTAGTGCTAGGGCAAAAAAACTAAACGTGCACCTAGGGGGCAGGGTTGCCAGGAGAAGCAAAAATGTATCCCATTGATCATTGGGCCTGAAAAATAGCCCTTTTTTTTCACAGCAAGAAAGGAATTGCCATATCTATACAATAAACCATTTTTCCATAACGCTATCGAGCCAATTAAGAAGGAATATAGTAACTTGTAATGACATTAGAAGCAAAATGACATGACATAATAAAGGAATTTGAATATGTGGCAAGAGAAAAGATATCAATGGATATCGATTTAACTCGTTTGACTGCTATGATTAAGCAATAAGGCACAAGGGGGTATGGTATATGGCCAATATACCACGGCTAAGGGCAGTTCTTACGCACGACGCAATGCGGAGTGCCTGGATACAGCCGTTAGGCGTGGTATGTACTCCTGAGTGGCGCAGTGGTCTAAGGCACTGCATCGCAGTGCTAACTGTGCCACTAGAGATCCTGGTTCAAATCCAGGCTCTGTCGCAGCCGGCCGCGACCGGGAGACTCATGGGCGGCGCACAATTGGCCCAGCGTCGTCCAGGGTAGGGGAGGGAATGGCCGGCAGGGATGTAGCTCAGTTGATAGAGCATGGCGTTTGCAACGCCAGGGTTGTGGATTCGTTTCCCACGGGGGCCAGTATTAGAAAAATAATTAAAAATAAAAATAAAGTTTGTGCATGTGCAAAGCTATAGATACATCCGACAGGGAGTTTGAGTGATGAAAGTTGGACAGAGGATCTCAAAATCTCTGCGCAAGAACATTTGAGAGAGCAGATGAACATTTAAAAAACGAATGTTAGGCTATTTTCTGGCAATTGTGCTGTTATTATGTGCCAGATGTTAAGACTACAACCTGTTATAAATGGCCCATTTGCGAGATTGACTTGTCATTTCAATAGGCATAGGCTACAGACTAAAATCTGGGTTTATGATTCTAATTAAATGTTGCCATAGTTTGCTTGGATAAAGGCAGGTAGCCTATAGCCCCTGATAGGCCAAGATGTAAACTGAACGATTTAGCAGCTTGCTTAGTTCAAATAAACAGACACTTTATTTGGCTAGTAGGCAAATAGGCCTACATAGGGTATAATGACTCTATGACTGCATGCCTCCAGAAGGTCATCTTCTGAGGCTGAGGGATGCTTTTCCGAAGGTACATTGGGCTGAAGTGCTGCATGGAGATCAGAAGCTCTTCAACTGGGAAGCAGTGTCGCGATGGAGGGAATAGCCTATACGGAGACTACCTAAGACCACTGCAACAGAGTTATTGTAAAGTGTGGGAATAAGCTTATGCCAGACTTAGCCTACGTTTAACCTCTCCCTTGTTCATTTCAAAGTCCATATGTCCATGACCCGATTCATATAAATCAATTCAAATCATAGTAACCCCTCCTACAGAATATGCTTTGGCAAGATTTTGAGTGATGAAATAAATATCTAAATATTCTATAAAATAAAAAAAATTGAGTGGCAAAGACTCCAGTGATCATACATAATTCATAGATTCACCAAAACATATATTATTCTGTTTTATTATTCCTGGTAAATACTTCTGGTTATGATTGCAGATAATTTAGTCATATTTTGATAAGGTGCATGCATGGGGATGTCCACGTCACCCAGAGATATGTCCATGCTGTAGAGATACACCAAGCAGACTGAAACTTCACTGTTATAGGCATAATACAGCTAGTGCTATCTAGACTTGCGCTGGCAAACAAATTCATTACATTAGCTACCTAAATGTGAAGTAAACTCAAAAGGAGTAATAGAGAATGGAGACTTTTAACTTGAAAACGTGCAGGGAATACCTCTTTCCGGGTTGCCTGACTTCTGTTTTTGTATACTGTGTTACGCTTGTTCGAGTAGAACTCCTCACAGGTCGTATGGTGTACGTGTTTTTTGTTGGTGAGATGAAACTGCCAAAACTCTGAAAGGTATTATTGTATGTCAGAATTGCAACACAAGATTTGTTCAAGACCAAAATGTTAGTCTGTAATCGTAACATGGTGTTTGTATGTTCACAGATTACATTTCACGTTTAGGTTCATGTTTCACGGATGGCTTTTCTTACGATCCTAACAATTTACGTATGGATTTTCTTACGATCCTACGTTCAACCTTTTGGCAGGTATCTGGCTCCGTAAGATCAATTCAGCCTCTTGCGAATTGAAGGACATTTATGAAACACAGAGAGACTAAATAAATTATTTTGTATGTTTTTTTCTTGGTATATTTTTTGGGGAAGCCTGGCTTACTCATGAATACACGGCGCTGGTCATGGTACTCTGATAAATGCAGAAAATCGCCAATCAAAACAAACGATCTACCACAGAGGCCATGTTATTTTTGGCAAGTATATTTGATTTTGATTTCGGACATATAACGTTGGTATGTGAAAAATATTTCTAAGCCGCATACATTTAGTTGTTCTAAACTGACTTCACTCCCGCTAAAGACGGAAGCTTTGGCTACCGGTGCATGCACATGCGCAGATAAATACGTTTCTTCTTTGATGAGGTTTACGGCGGTTGGCATCCAATACATGTTGAATTAACGCCACCTACTAGACTGGAGTATAACTCCCTTATACTTTGCTTTAAAAAATACAACAAATACCCTACCATCTAACACTACAATAATAATAATAACTACCATACTCCACTATTTAAATATATGTATTCCTACTTCAGGCCAACAGCCTGAAAGGATGGGACACCACCACTTAACACACCCTGTAACTCTTCTGATGTCAAGTCTCACACACCCGAATACCACACTGCAGCTGCCACCACAACCTCTATTTTCTGCGACTTACGTTCCATCCCTGCAGTTGATAACCATTGCTATAAATGCCAAAAAATGGAATCTTACTGAAACATATATCACTTGTTAGTTTATCCCTCTGTACTGGTACAGATCTACTACTCACACAATTCCTCTCAGGATCCCTCCCCCTTGACCCATCTTCCTCTACTTTCTTCTCTGCCTCAGCATATGACAACTTCTGCACTACTCTGACCCTGGAAACCTCAACCTGCCTCTCTCGCACCGGACATTTCAGATCCCCAGCCCCATGGGCACCCCTACAATTAACACATACAGTGGGGAAAAAAAGTATTTAGTCAGCCACCAATTGTGCAAGTTCTCCCACTTAAAAAGATGAGAGAGGCCTGTAATTTTCATCATAGGTACACGTCAACTATGACAGACAAATTGAGGGAAAAAAATCCAGAAAATCACATTGTAGGATTTTTAATGAATTTATTTGCAAATGATGGTGGAAAATAAGTATTTGGTCACCTACAAACAAGCAAGATTTCTGGCTCTCACAGACCTGTAACTTCTTCTTTAAGAGGCTCCTCTGTCCTCCACTCGTTACCTGTATTAATGGCACCTGTTTGAACTTGTTATCAGTATAAAAGACACCTGTCCACAACCTCAAACAGTCACACTCCAAACTCCACTATGGCCAAGACCAAAGAGCTGTCAAAGGACACCAGAAACAAAATTGTAGACCTGCACCAGGCTGGGAAGACTGAATCTGCAATAGGTAAGCAGCTTGGTTTGAATAAATCAACGGTGGGAGCAATTATTAGGAAATGGAAGACATACAAGACCACTGATAATCTCCCTCGATCTGGGGCTCCACGCAAGATCTCACCCCGTGGGGTCAAAATGATCACAAGAACGGTGAGCAAAAATCCCAGAACCACACGGGGGGACCTAGTGAATGACCTGCAGAGAGCTGGGACCAAAGTAACAAAGCCTACCATCAGTAACACACTACGCCGCCAGGGACTCAAATAATGCAGTGCAAGATGTGTCCCCCTGCTTAAGCCAGTACATGTCCAGGCCCGTCTGAAGTTTGCTAGAGTGCATTTGGATGATCCAGAAGAGGATTGGGAGAATGTCATATGGTCAGATGAAACCAAAATATAACTTTTTGGTAAAAACTCAACTCATCGTGTTTGGAGGACAAAGAATGCTGAGTTGCATCCAAAGAACACCATACCTACTGTGAAGCATGGGGGTGGAAACATCATGCTTTGGGGCTGTTTTTCTGCAAAGGGACCAGGACGACTGATCCGTGTAAAGGAAAGAATGAATGGGGCCATGTATCATGAGATTTTGAGTGAAAACCTCCTTCCATCAGCAAGGGCATTGAAGATGAAACGTGGCTGGGTCTTTCAGCATGACAATGATCCCAAACACACCGCCCGGGCAATGAAGGAGTGGCTTCGTAAGAAGCATTTCAAGGTCCTGGAGTGGCCTAGCCAGTCTCCACATCTCAACCCCATAGAAAATCTTTGGAGGGAGTTGAAAGTCCGTGTTGCCCAGCGACAGCCCCAAAACATCACTGCTCTAGAGGAGATCTGCATGGAGGAATGGGCCAAAATACCAGCAACAGTGTGTGAAAACCTTGTGAACACTTACAGAAAATGTTTGACCTGTGTCATTGCCAACAAAGGGTATATAACAAAGTATTGAGAAACTTTTGTTATTGACCAAATACTTAATTTCCACCATAATTTGCAAATAAATTCATTAAAAATCCTACAATGTGATTTTCTGGATTTTTTTCCCTCATTTTGTCTGTCATAGTTGACGTGTACCTATGATGAAAATTACAGGCCTCTCTCATCTTTTTAAGTGGTAGAACTTGCACAATTGGTGGCTGACTAAATACTTTTTTCCCCCACTGTACCACTACTTTCCCCAATGATACACATTCCTTTGTCTCATGCCCTTCTGCAAACTTCTCACACCTAGGAACCTCCCTCCTACACACTGCTGCCACATGCCCACAAGCTTGACACCTGTAACAACGTAATGTATTCGGCACAAAAGCTCGTACCGGATAACTTATATACAGTGAGGGAAAAAAGTATTTGATCCCCTGCTGATTTTGTACGTTTGCCCGCTGACAAAGAAATGATCAGTCTATAATTTTAATGGTAGGTTTATCTGAACAGTGAGAGACAGAATAACAACAAAAAAATCCAGAAAAACGCATGTCAAAAATGTTATAAATTGATTTGCATTTTAATGAGGGAAATAAGTATTTGACCCCCTCTCAATCAGAAAGATTTCTGGCTCCCAGGTGTCTTTTATATAGGTAACAAGCTGAAATTAGGATCACTCTCTGAAAGGGAGTGCTCCTAATCTCAGTTTGCTACCTGTATAAAAGACACCTGTCCACAGAAGCAATCAATCAATCAGATTCCAAACTCTCCACCATGGCCAAGACCAAAGAGCTCTCCAAGGATGTCAGGGACAAGATTGTAGACCTACACAAGGCTGGAATGGGCTACAAGACCATCGCCAAGCAGCTTGGTGAGAAGGTGACAACAGTTGGTGCGATTATTCACAAATGGAAGAAACACAAAATAACTGTCAATCTCCCTTGGCCTGTGGCTCCATGCAAGATCTCACCTCGTGGAATTGCAATGATCATGAGAACGGTGAGGAATCAGCCCAGAACTACACGGGAGGATCTTGTCAATGATCTCAAGGCAACTGGGACCATAGTCACCAAGAAAACAATTGGTAACACACTACGCCGTGAAGGACTGAAATCCTGCAGCGCCCGCAATGTCCCCCTGCTCAAAAAAGCACATATACATGCCCGTCTGAAGTTTGCCAATGAACATCTGAATGATTCAGAGGAGAACTGGGTGAAAGTGATCAAAATGGAGCTCTTTGGCATCAACTCAACTCGCCGTGTTTGGAGGAGGAGGAATGCTGCCTATGACCCCAAGAAAACCATCCCCACTGTCAAACATGGAGGTGGAAACATTATGCTTAGGGGGTGCACATTAAGGTCCTGGAGTGGCCTAGCCAGCCTCCAGACCTTAATCCCATAGAAAATCTGTGGAGCGAGCTGAAGGTCCGAGTTGCCAAACGTCAGCCTCGAAACCTTAATGACTTGGAGAAGATCTGCAAAGAGGAGTGGGACAAAATCCCTCCTGAGATGTGTGCAAACCTGGTGACCAACTACAAGAAACGTCTGACCTCTGTGATTGCCAACAAGGGTTTTGCCACCAAGTACTAAGTCATGTTTTGCAGAGGGGTCAAATACTTATTTCACACATTAAAATGCAAATCAATTTATAACATTTTTGACATGCATTTTTCTGGATTTTTTTTTTGTTATTCTGTCTCTCACTGTTCAAATAAACCTACCATTAAAATTATAGACTGATCATTTCTTTGTCAGTGGGCAAACGTACAAAATCAGCAGGGGATCAAATACTTTTTTCCTTCACTGTATAACATCACTAAAATCTAAAACCACCAGTAATGTACATTTTACCAGCTCCTTCCTGGCCTCCAGTGAAAAACAAGCCTTATCAAGTTCTCCACATGAACAGTGAAGCTCAGCTTGTCATCCACCCACACTCCCAAATATTTGTACATTTTGACTTGCTCTATAGTATGTCCATCCAATGTAGCAATGTAGTGTATGCATTAATGCATTACATGTTTCTTCTGCCATCAGTGCTAAATTTGATAATCTAATTTTAAAGATACAAACCATGCTCCCCACAAGTTCTCTTATAAGTATTTTGTGGAAAGGGAAGTTAGAAAGAGTTGAGCAACATCAACCTTATCTGTGTGCAACAGCCTCTCTCTATCTGTCATAGCCAGTAAAAAAACAGACCAAAAACAGATTGCACAGATAGTAATATATACTCAAACTGCAGCACAATCATCAAGTCATTCTAACTGACCAGTGTCTCTGGGCTACTTCACAAGAAAGATGAGCCTGGTCTGTGTTCAGTTGGGACTATTTGCATTTTGGATATTTGGTTCCTGGGGTTGGTTGAGTAACAAATGCATTCTCTATGAGAAAGTGAATTACTGGCTGTACATTCATGCTAACTGCCCAAGCATGATCGGATTCACTGCCAGTTGCTGGGATATATGTGACCTCAAAGTCAACCTCTCTGTTGTTCCGTCAAACTACCAGACCCTCTGTCTCGAGATCAGGAGTGGATACGTAATGCAATCTGGCGCTCTCTCTCGATTCTATGCTCTTGAGAGACTTCACCTACAGGGCTTTCTACCCACGATTCTCCATGGCACCTTCAAGGGACTGTCCAGTGTAAAGACACTCTCTCTGAACGGTAAGGGCATGATACAGTGTAACAATGCATCGCTTCTATCCAACACTTTCAGTGACCTGACTAATCTGGAGGAACTTTCCATTGAGGATTGCATGCTTTCTGCGATGGCACTGGACGTATTTGGAGGGATCCCCCTTTTGAAGAAACTCACAGTCAACAGATGTTGTACACATGAGCTATCTGATTTGCTATGCAGGATAGTTAATATGTCACAGTCAATAACAAGCCTGACATTTAAGTCAGAGGATATAGTCACTTTGAGAGCCCCAAACTGCTGTGACACCAAAGGAGCTGTTCTTGAGCTTCCTCCTTTCTATCGTCTTCAAGAGGTGAAGTTTTCATTCCCTAATGCTCATCACTTAGAAAAAGGTGCATTCAAATGCTTTGAAAACATCACAGATCTCTGTGTCCATAGTTGATGAGCCACAGACACAGCTTCTGCAGTCTGGCATCAGAAGACTACAGGCGTTTGTTTTTAACAACAAATGTATTTCCTTTGAGTCAGTTTGTGAAACAGTATTCAAACTCTCAATCGTAGAAATTGATGTAAGTAATTATACATTCTGGAACAACACCACATCTGCTGTGAGAAACTGCCAGGGGATAAAGAGGATTCATTTAAATTATTATGAACATGAACGTGATGCAATTAACTTAAGTTTGATCCATTATTTGAAGAATCTTGTTGATATGGGTGTTTTCCTTCCTAAGGCTGAAGTTGAAATCAATATGCTTTGTGACACTCAAAAGGGTCCCGTTATGTGGCTGAAAAAACTGTGGCTGTTTAGCTTTCACATCAAAAACATTGCCTCAGAGCAGTTTGGTTGCTTGAAGAATCTGGAACAGCTGATTTTGTCAGGAAATCAGATTACCAGTGTTGCAGACTTTACATTTAAGGAACTAGCTAAATTGAGGTTCCTAGACCTACAGAATAACAAGATCTCTCAGATATCAGAGAACAGTTTCTTTGGCCTGCATGGCTTGGAGACCCTAATTCTGGAACTAAACCCACTTGAAACAATTGAAGCATTTGCCTTCATCCACCTCACTTTGTTGAAGCACGTATGTTTAGGGGACTTTCAACCTTTGCCTAGTTAGTTGGAGAGTAGCGTGAGTGTGAATCTGACACACATATTTGGTGTCTTCCCTCAAGGGTTAATGCAAATTAACATTTCTTCCATGTGGTACACCCTCAACATCATCATCGGCAGCAACAGCACACCAAAACCAGGGATTTCCCTTCAGCTCAGTGCCACAACTGTATCCTTCCAGGACTACTGGAGACCGTTTTTCCAGTCCGTCATCAGCCTCACAGCCATAACAGAACGCCTCCTGTGTGGGTCTCATTTTGCCGCAAGATACTTCACCTCCCTCCAGTACTTTGGCTTCATGTCTGTGCTGTCAGCCAAATTTGTGGACATGACTGACCTGAACACACTTGTGGAGCTGAGGTATCTATTTATCCATTTACTTAACGGTCGAGTGAGGACAAACAGCTGTATAGTTTCAAAAGTATACTATAAATTAGATTTTAAAGCTGTACTGTATGCAAGCCATCCAAGTCTGGCCTGCCTGCATTTTTTAAAAGTATGAATGGGGTTTAAGAGCAGTAGTGGTCTAAAGAATAAGAAGAAGTATGACAGATTATTTCAGAAGTGCACTTACAAGGTAATTGATTATAATCCAACTGTAGGTATCTGATGCTAAAGGGAGTGGAACTCTACCGGCAGCCAGGGCTGGCCATTATGTTCCACAACCTCACCAAGCTGGAGACCCTGAACCTGATCACCTGCAGGATCCTCAGTCTGGAGGAGGAGATGAGCAGAGACCTGCATTCCCTCAGGTAGATAATAGAAACACCCACCCATATGAAGGCGCAGGCGGAGTTTGAACCCATCCCACTGAGCACAGACGTCAGTTCAACGTCTAGTTTTGATTTACATTTAGTTGAGCTGTCAACTAACCGTGAATTCAACGTGAAGTCAACAACATATGTCACCATGTCATTGGATTTAGGGTAAAAGTTGGGTGAAAACAAATACGAAATGCCCTTACGTTGATTACTTTTTGCAAATCCAATCAGTTTTCCAACATTGGAAACAACTTTGATTCAACCAGTTTTTGCCCAGTGGGATGCCACAAGGGGCCATTAGTGGTCTGGATTTACCACCACAAGACAAGAATCCGGCATTACGAGCTACAACTAGTGTGCAAGCTGGCCTCCGTTTGCGCCCTAAGAGTGAACTGTTTTCTGCCTTCTCCTCAGGCAGATGTCAGTCCACATCCCAGAGGAGTTCAGTGTGTTGGAGAGCTTCCCAGAGCCGCTGACCAACCTGAGGTACCTGCTACTCTACAGTTTTCGCCTGGACTGCAGCTGTGACAATGCCTGGCTGGTCGCCTGGGCCGAGAGACAGCCACATGTCCAGGTCGTCTTTTATCACCCTGGGGAAGCAGACGTGACATGTAAAAACGAGAATGGAATCCAGAACTTTGCCAGGTAAGAAGAAAGATGTACTGATAATGAGGAGCATGCCATTTATTGTACAACCATAGAGGCAACACATGCCTAGAACACCAGCATGGCCGTTTAGCATTTGGACTTGTCATCTAGGCCTGGATGTACAGCCACAACCTGTTTTAAAAGCTTTCTCTATTGATGGCGTCGATAATATGAGTATTCTAAGTGTCAAGGGATGTCTTTGTTACCATCATTGCGCCGTCCATCACAGGTACTCAGCAGCTAACTGTTCCCTGGACGTGGGCTTTGTCCTGTTCCTCTGCACCTCGCTGGGCCTGCTCCTCTTCATGCTGCTGGTGCTCCATCAGCTGGCTCGGGAATACCTGCTGGCCTTCTGCCACATCATCCGCGGCTGGCTGGAGGAGGCTGTACGGAGGCCCAACCCCAGGGGGCACTACCACTATGATGCCTTTGTGTCGTACAGTGGGAGAGATGAGTGCTGGGTGGTGGAGCAGCTGCTTATGGGGCCTCGAGCAGAGGGGGCCTCCCTTCCTGCGTCTATGTCTGCACAGCAGGGACTTCCAGTTGGGGAAGGACATTGTGGGCAACATCACAGACAGCCTCTACGGTAGGTATCCTGGACTACTAGAATTACTGTATACGGACACACTGGTTCAAAATGCCAAGCCTATGGCATCACCATCTAATGATCCTTCTTATTGGTCTGGTTCCAGGCAGCCGCTACACCGTGTGTGTGGTGAGTCATAACTACCTGCGCAGTAACTGGTGCTCCCTGGAGCTGCGGCTGGCCACCCTCCGTCTGCTGGTGGAGCAAAGTGACATCCTTATCTTGGTCTTCCTGGAGGACATCCCCCCTCGCCAGCTGTCTGCCCACCACCGCCTAGCCAGGCTGGTCAAGACCAGGTACGTATAGTATGTGGAGAGGTGGTTCTGTGAACTACACTCATGATCATTTATTTAACTAGGAAACATATTTGAGAAAACATACAGTGCATTCGGAAAGTAATCAGACCACTTGACTTTTTCCACATTTTGTTACCTTACTGCCTCATTCTAAAAAGGATTAAATACATCTACACACAATACCCCATAATGACAAAGTGAAAACAGGTTTTTAGAAATGTCTGCAAATGTATTAAAAATAAAAAACAGAAATACCTTATTTACATAAGTATTCAGACCCTTTGCAATGAGACTCGAAATTGAGCTCAGGTGTATCATGTTTCCATTGATCATCCTTGAGATGTTTATTCTACAACTTGATTGGAGTCCACCTGTGGTAAATTAAATTGATTGGACATGATTTGGAAAGGCACACACTTGTCTTTATAAGGTCCCACACTGACGGTGCATGTCAGTGCAAAAACCAAGACATTAGGTCAAAAGAATTGTCCGTAGAGCTCCGAGACAGGACTGTGTCGAGGCACAGATCTGGGGAAGGGTAACAAAAAATTGGAGGTAGAAAGTCCACAAGAACACAGTAGCCTCCATCATTCTTAAATGGAAGAAGTTTGGAACTACCGAGACTCGTCCTAGAGCTGGCCGCCCGGCCAAACTGAGCAATCGGGGGAGAAGGGCCATGGTCAGGGAGGTGACCAAGAACCCGATGGTCACGCTGACAGAGCTCAAGAGTTCCTCTGTGGAGATGGGAGAACCTTCCAGAAGGACAACCCTCTCTGCAGCACTCCACCAATCAGGCCTTTATGGTAGAGTGGCCAGACGGAAGCCACTTCTCAATGAAAGGCACATGACAGCATGCTTGGAGTTTACCAAAAAGCACCTGAAGGACTCTCAGACCATGACAAACAAGATTCTCTGGTCTGATGAAACCAATATTGAACTCTTTGGCCTGAATGCCAAGCGTCACATCTGGCACCTGACATCATCCCTACGGTGAAGCATGGTGGTGGCAGCATTATGCTGTGGGGATGTTTTTCAGAGGCAGGGACTGGGAGACTAGTCAGGATCGAGGGAAAGATGAACGGAGCAAATTACAGAAAGATCCTTGATAAAACCTGCTCCAGAGCGCTCAGGACCTCAGACTGGGGTGAAGGATCACCTTCCAACAGGACAACGACCCTAAGCACACAGTCAATACAACGCAGGACTGGCTTCGGGACAAGTCTCGGAATGTCCTTGAGTGGCCCAGCCAAAGCCCGGACTTGAACCCGATCGAACATCTTTGGAGAGACCTGAAAATAGTTGAGCAGCGACGCTCCCCATCCAACATGACAGAGCTTGAGAGGATCTGCAGAGAAGAATGGGAGTAACTCCCCAAATACAGGTGTGCCAAGCTTGTAGTGTCATACCCAAGAAGACTTGAGGCTGTAATCGCTGCCAAAGGTGCTTCAACAAAGTACTGATTAAAAGGTCTGATTACTTATGTAAATGTTATATTTCCGTTTTATTTTATTTTATACATTTGCAAACATTTCTAGTTTTTGCTTTGTCATTATGGGGTATTTGTAGATTGATGAGGGGGGAAATTATTTCATCCATTTTAGAATAAGGCTATAACGTAGCAAAATGTGGGAAAAGTGAAGGAGTCTGAATACTTTCCGAATGCACTGTATATTTTTTGTGACCTCATGTGTTGAGGAACTTTATGTGAAGACCTGAAGGCTTGTCTTCTAAATTATATTTCACTCATATACAGTATCTTCATTATGACTTTAGAGTATGTTGTCTTTCATGTGTTGTATAATGCCTTGGGTGTGATAAAAGCACTTTATACTTTAAGTCAAATAATCAGTTATTATTGTGATCCCCAGGACCTACCTGGACTGGCCCCGGGACCTGGCCATGCAGCCTGCCTTCTGGGACCGTCTGTGGACCAAACTGGTCCCTCCTGAACCACACCCTGGACAGTGACCAGAAACAGTACTACACTCTTTTAAAAAGGGTTCTAAAAGGGGTCTTTGTTGGGTGAAAAGGTTCTACCTGGAACCATAAAGGGTTATCCTACAGAGACGAGCCAAATAACTCTTTAAGGTTTTAGAGAGCACCTTTTTTGTGTACATATCTAGACAGTGGTATTCCGCTTCCAATTAACTTTGTATGAACTGTGTGGATATCAACAGCAGAGGGAGACAAAGACCTTCAATCATATATACAGTACACAGACTAGCCAACGTTCAAAATATGTTTGCGGCAAAAAACAGTGAGGTTTATGGCTTTGCATACATTTGTATTATTTGATTCAATAAAATGTGCCGTCTCTCTCTCTTGCCTTCTTCTAACGTTGCATTGTTTTAAGATGTTCATACCATGGATCATTTAGCTGTTTGATTTTGAATTTTAGGACCCCTTTAGGTATTAAAAAAATATAAACAAATGATTTGATAAAATATTGAATTTGGCCTTTACTACTGTAGCCCATAGAAACGCATTGAATAACATTCATAAATGGCAAAAAAAAGACAGTGAAAAAATGTATCATCAGGTTTTGAAGTGTCTGTGCTATATCTAGGAGACATAAGAAAGCTCAGGAAATATTTTTTAGTTTTTTAGCCACATATTTAACCCCTTATTTTTGTTGCCACAAAACTACCTCCATACTTCCATTAATTTGTATGGGTAACCTTCAGACGAGTCCCGTGACACTTGTGGGGGTCGTAGAGCAAAACGGAGAACACCATTGCGTTCGTGAGAGTCTCATCTTTCCATAGAGTGGTTAGTTGGCCAAACCGTTCGGACGCTACAGACATTTTTGTGAGTAGATCGATTTTTGGGATGTCTCATGGTCTGACAAACACCGCTGTAGCTCGGCTACCTTCTACCGCAGATGTTGAAGGCCGACATAGGCGGATATCTCTAGCTTAAATTGGTGGATTTCGATGGGGATTTTTTTATTATGTTACTTAAAATTGACAGACGGGTGCATCAGTAGACACTTATCGATTAACAGAAGAAGTGATCTTGAATGTAGCCTGGTCCCATATCTGTCTGTGCTGTCTTGCCAACGTGGTCATGCCAATGACCCATAGGAGTTGGAAAGACAGCATGAACAGAACTGAGACCAGGCTATCTTGAATGAGGCTGATTTAACGCCATTGTGCACTCTATACAGATCAACACAGAACATCCGGGGAGGTTTTATTGTCCGCCGAAGTAGTACAAATACACATGATCTTATTCTACATTCAATCCCTATACAGTCTGAGGGATGCTCAGTGTCATCATCATCATCATCATCATCATTGTTATTTGTCATTAAATAACTATTCCTGAAGAGGATTATAGATGTAACGTTACACACAGGACTTGATGGTTTCTCTAACCAGTGGGTTACTGAACACAGTTATCTCTCTAGGCAGGTTTGAGTTCCTAGAGAAAAATAAATGCTGTTGCTATCTCGCTTTCAAACCAAGATGCATGAACAGTGGAGCAATCTGGAGATAAGAAGATATTCAGCAACTCTTGGTAGGACAATGGAAGTTGTTGAAGCAAACTTCTATTATCCTAACTGGAGCTGAGTTCCTAAACATGACAGTTTGTTCAAGGTGTTGTTAAGTGTCAGATTGGTGGTTAGCTCTCTCCTTGGCTCTTTTCATGATCCGCTCCAGGTCAGCCATGACAGGCAGTGGGCCCTCATACTTGTTGGTCTCGATGGCCCTCAGCTTCTCCTGGTAGTTCTTCGGCAAGCCATTCTGCTCCGCCCCCATTAAAATCACCTGGGGCAACCAGAGAACAATTAACAAAATACATTTATAATTTAATAGGAAGTTAAACCATATTAATCAGACAATCACTTATACAGTACTTTCTGTTATCTAACGACAAATAAATTACCAATGGCGCCCATTCAAATCCAGAACTGCCCCAGGGGCAGAAACATCAATAGTTTCTACCCTTATGCTATAGTAACTGCCCCAAGAATGTGTGTATCTGAAATACTGTACCCATCGGACCACACACCACACCACAGATAGAACACGCCACATAACAGAAGAACAATGCACTCAGCTCAACCGTATGAGTCTGGTACATACACGACAGAGCACGGCACAAAGCTTCCGTGGTCACAAAGCCATGCTCCACGCCTGTTACATTCGCTGGCTGTTTTTCTCACACCACTTTGATTATTTAGCTAGAGCTTTTAGATGTGCAATGAACCATCTGGAATCACAGTTTAGTAACTGTTCACATTGTCCAATACAGTGCATGGGATTGGATAAATCCTGAATGAATTGATGGATATCTACTAAATAAAAAATACCTGGAATGTAGTTTTCCAGATGCTTCAGAGAGGGAGGTTTTATTTTGGAGAGGGGCTGTGAGTAAATAGTCTAAAAATCCCCTGACCTAGTTGCTGCTCTTTCCCTATTGTCTTTTCAACACAAAGCCATCTGGGAGCTGTCAGGGGCAAACGCCAGAAAAAACACCACAACACTACTGGTCTTTTTGCCACAACAGTGAGTGAGTGACAGAGACTCATTCAAGAGGATGATGTCACCCAAACTGTCATCCACAAGTGACTAGTGATGTGTGAATTCCTTTTTTCACATGCTTTAGAGATCTCTTCATTGTCCCATTGTATATCTATAGAGAGCCCCACTTCATTAACAACGCTCCTCTCCACACTTTGTAAGGTCCCTAACGTCTTAAAGGGTTCAGTGTCAAGTCCATGTTCTTATTTGGAATAACAGAGATATAAATAGATTGAGAAAGTGAGACAGCATGCGATAGAGAGGGAGAGAGAGAGAGAGAGAGAGAGAGAGAGAGAGAGAGAGGGAGGAAAATAGTATAAAAGGAGGTGTGCTACCTTGAGGTACTGTGGAGACGGTGGAGCGTAAATACAGCTGTTCATGATGTAGGTGCGACAGTTGAGCTCTTGTCCCCGAGTCTTCACATTCACCTCCACAGGGCTGTAGGCCCCTAGTCTCACGTTCTCCTGGCTGCACACACACACACACACACACACACAAATACACACACATGAATACACCCACACACACAACTTTAGAACTGGTTAGATCTAGACCGCATCAACCACAATGAAGAAGCACTCAGAATGACACAACAGACCCAGTAGACACACTATACACCAACTAGGATTAGGTGAACAAGATAAAGGTATCTTACCTGTCTAGAGACGCGAGGTCAGCCACATTCATCCTCCACACCACTCCCCACACCTCGTTCGCTGGGCTGTTCTCGATGGTCGCCACACCCCCATGCCACCGGTCACTGGCCAGACCCTTGTAGTTCCCAAATACCAGCTTGTAGTCCTGGAGAGAAGGAGAGATAGAGGGGTCAGGTTAAGGTCAGGTGTCCTCCCAGGTCCTCATTATAGTCAGGTCGGGTCGTACCTTGAGCCTGGCCACACAGTGGATGGTAGCGGAGGGGTTCTTGAGCTGGAGCCTCTCCTTCAGTAGGTTGCTGCCGTAGGCAAAGTACAGGAAGGTGTGGGTTTCTATGTTGTCATCCATCCTGTCAGAGAGGAAGAGGAGCTGGAGCAGGAGGGGGAAGGGCAGGGTGAGGAAGAGGAGGAGGAGGAGGAGTCAAGGGAAGACAAGGAGAAGAAGGAGAAGTCAAAGGAAGACAAGGAGGAGGAGGAGGAGGAGGAGGAGGAGGAGGAGGAGGAGGAGAGAATAGAGAGTAACCACAGTCAGCAGGAGGGCTTGGAGGCGGAGCAGAGACGCAAGGTGAGGTCATGATCACTAGTGTGACAGAGATCAAACCATGCGCCCCCCTCTTTTATACCAGCCCTCTCTCCACTCACTGACTCCCCATTCTCATGCTAATCCAACGGGCCTGCCCTGTGCTGGGCTGTGCCCACCACTGCCACACAATACACACACAGCCTGCTGGTTGCTGAGCCTTATGGCCTGATCAGTCTGAGCTCACAGTCACAACAGCATGTCATTCACAGTGTGCTACAACAAGCCTGCATAGCGCTGTCTAGTGGACAGAGAGGTTATTGGTGTGTTGCAGCTGATGCTTTGACAAATAGGCCAATCCTTCACTCATGCTTGCATGCATGCACATGCATTTATGTTTACACCACCATTGGTAATCAGGCAGAACTCAATTTTGCTTTGAAATCATGTCATGAGCACTGGTGTAGTGGAGGGTAAACGCAGTTTACACACCTTTTTTATTTTGCGCCAAGCTTTACCCATCTTTTGTGGAAAAATGCTTTGAAAGTATATGGAACATTACTGGTCATGGGAATGGAAGGCTAAACATAAACACAGCTGGTCCATCAAGGTCCAGTAGGTAACTTTGTGGGCGACCTGACCAAATTCACATAAAAAAGTGAGTTATAGATCGGTCATTCCTATTGAAAGCAAGTTTGATACCGCGGCAGATCTGTTCTATGTGCACTATTTCTATGCTTTTGGTCTTTAAATTGAGCTTTTGCATCTTTTTACTTTCGGTTTTGTACACCAGCTTCAAACAGCTGACAATACAATATTTTTGGTTATTGAAAATATATTTCACAGCAGTTTATATTTTACAATGATTTTCTACACTGCCATTTACAACGAAAATAGGGATTTTGTTTTTTTTAAACGCCCCCCTTTAAGTTTCTCAAAGTACCGACATCAGCGTTAGCTGAAACGGCCCTGTGGGCAACAGATTGCCATGACATATGATGTGGTTAGCTGATATGTAAAATACCTATCCAGGCATTGTAAGATCTGGCATGCATTAGCAACGTCCGAGCAGGGGAACACGACCAATAACACTAGGTACAATAGATAGAAATCGCTCAGCCATTTCCTGGTTGCTAAAATGTTATCATATTCGCCTAATTTCAGTTTATGTGACAAAACAAAAATGCCCCCCTTTAAATCTGTCCTACAGTTACCTGTAGCAGTAGGCTACAATGAGAATGGAACAGCTGGATGGGGGAAATGGCTTGAGTCACGCAAAAGGGAATATAACATTGCAGATAAAGTTCAGAATGACACAATTTCATGTCTACAACATCTAAAGACCTGCATCACTATGCTGAGAGCTTTGCCATTTCTAAAATGACTTTTGTGGATGTTTTTGGTGACTTTGTTCATGTTTTTTTCGAGGCCCCCATACTTATCAATGGGGATGATGAAGTGATTCACTGTGTGGGGTAAATTTCTCAAAAACGTGAAATCAGAAAAAAAACATGGCATTTACATCAGAAATAGCGATTTGGTTGTACATTTTATTGTGAGTGATGACCATGAAAACACACAAGACTGATAGCTATATTCAAAAAGTATATTATTCTTCCTGCATTACCTAGCTCTATTTGTGATATTTTACCTTGCCTTGCTAGTTTGATAGGTAATCCATCTCAGATGACAACTGTTATGTGTTAAAGATGCAGTCCGGGATCATAAGCACTTACAAATTCGTAACATATTGTACGAATAATTGGAATTCATAACATATTTTATTTGCAATCGGTTACATGTCACACGAAATGGATGATGTAGTACACAATTGTGCACCAATTTACAGTTTTAGTCATTTAGCAGACACTCTTATCCAGAGCGACTTACAGTTAGTGAGTGCATACATTTTCCCCCCTCTTTTTTTTCATACTGGCCCCCCGTGGGAATCGAACCCACAACCCTGGGGTTGCAAGCGCCATGCTCTACCAATTGAGCTACACGGGGCTGTTTTTGGCTGTTGAGCACTACTTTCAAAACTACTGGGTGAAATTATAAAAAACATTTGGAGCATCACTTTCATTTACACAAATTGCATTTGAAGTTACACGTGATCATAACCACTGCTAGGTAAACAAAGACGTTTCTGATGATGAACTGCGTCATTTTTAATGACGTGGACGTAAAATGGGTCTAAATGGATGATGGTAATGACCCCTTTGTACCCATTGCTGGAGCCCATATTGATTGCATAGACTAGCTAGAGATTATGGAGGAATTTCTCTGGGCTAGCCTACTGGAATATTTTACCCGCGCCCACTCAAGGCTCCTTCAAAACAGCGCTTTCGCTCACTGATGGAGCAGGAGAAAGAACTAACCAATAGGAAGCCAGTGCCCAGCCCACTTCTTACTCTCGCATCCATCCGTGGAGTGGAAAAATCCCAAACAGGAGGCGGACCACAACCTGCAGTTGTCTGTCTGAGAAGTCTGAGCATATTTAATGGATAAAGTGAATGTGCTTGAAGGAGTGCATTTGATTACATACTGCAGTTGATTAAAGTAGATGTTTTTGTTTAATTTAAATAATGTTGAGTGCGCAGAACGCTTGATTTCTTTGTACGATAAGAAAAAGGTGTAATTATTAATAAAACCTATAATTTGCTTGTTTATCATTCAAGCAGATTGGAGGAGAACACTCCTGGCCTGCATATACAAAGGTAATATCAATCAGATTTTTGTTGTGATTTATCATTGCTTGCAAATAAACTTGAAGATTGCTTCTGTAATAATTACATATGCCATTGATCAAGACCATTGTTGATCAATAAAAACACTTCTGAAATTATATTTTACAGGATTAAACCTTGAGGCTAGAATATCTTCCACTTTTATGTGTCACTGGTGTTCTTTGATTTATGGTAGCATGTGCAAGTGCATGTGAGGGGGACTATTGACAAGTGAGGGGGTACAATAAAAAAAAAACGTAATGTTGGTTATATTGTGGTGGTGGGTGTTTTAAAGTGGCAACTATCAGTTATAGCTGCTTCATTTGGCCATATGAATGCATGTAGGCTATTCACTTATTTCTACATTTCTCTCCTATTCACTTATTTCTACATTTCTCTCCTTGTTTTATTTATCACTGTTTGTACACAGTATCATTTTTATTTTACTCTCTGTCTCTCTGCCGGTCTGCGTTAATTCATTCAGCTCACCCTTTTTCCTTCCAACAACCTATTGATATATCCATTATATCCTGCATGGATAAAGCTAGAGCCATAAGCATGGACAGCCATGGATGATGTTGCCGGTTTTAATGGAGAATATTCTCTGTCTCATGCTCAGGCCCTCTCATGCTTGTCCTGAGTCGGTGTGAAGAGGGGTGAGAGAGAGCCCCAGTGTGGAGCCAGGGAGTGGTCCAGGGTCTGGAGCCCCTTCCTCCAGTCACGTCCTCCAGCTCACCGGGGGGTACAACTTTTCACCAATGGAACTATGGAATAGTGTGGGTCTGCGAAGTGACTCAATAGTTCTGTGAGACTCTGGTTTGCATGTTTGTAAGATTTGACTAGAGTCTGGATGAAATAGCTAGATACTTAGGGAAGGATCCTGCTACAGTTGTAGCTTGTAGGATATCCAAGGATCTACATGATCCTTGGAAATATTACAGCAGGTTTTGTTTCCAAATGTCAAGTCCATCAATAAACAAGTATAGGCTTATAATTGACCAAGCCTGTTCTTTCTCTATCAGTTGTTGTAAAATGTTTCAGACTTCTACAGAAAGCCACCCTTTGTCTGGCCTACTCAAGAGGAAGACTGTATCTGTTTATTCCTGTAGATGTCAGTGCTGTGTTGCGTTTGAAATGGCCACATACAGTAGATACAGGATCACAACTACCGATGGATCAGATCAAATCCCTACTAAAATGAACAAGGGAAAAAGAGCTCCTTGAAAAAAGAACTCCCTTGACATGCTTTTATGACTATATAATTTTATTATTATTATGGAGATAATACCTTCACCACAATCAGTCAAATTAGCTGACGGAAACTCCTACTAACTTAAATCCCTGGTATAGAGCTTTGGACCTGCTAAGCCTTAGTGGTGGCAGCCTCCTCATTGAAAAGCACTGTGTGTTTCTGGTTGAGTTGAGCAATAAACTCAACTTAGTATTTCCCAGAGCCATATATATAGACAGTTCGGCCAGGTTTTAGAACGGCTGCCATGTTAGCGCCCATATAGAACAATTCCCTATGAAATGACCTGCTGTAAACAAGCAAAACAGAGCAGCGAATTTGACAGACGTTTTTATTGATTAGCATTCAATGTTTATCCAAGTCTGTACTGTGTTGTGGTGTCAACAAATTGCATATCTGCTTTCACTGGACATCTTCATAGGTTTAGAAAACTATCAGAAATAAACAGCACAATGTGGAAGTGTCAAATTACCACTTACAGTGGGGAAAGAAAGTATTTAGTCAGCCACCAATTGTGCAAGTTCTCCCACTTAAAAAGATGAGAGAGGACTGTAATTTTCATCATAGGTACACGTCAACTATGACAGACAAATTGAGAAGAAAAAAATCCAGAAAATCACATCGTAGGATTTTTAATGAATTTATTTGCAAATTATGGTGGAAAATAAGTATTTGGTCACCTACAAACAAGCAAGATTTCTGGCTCTCACAGACCTGTAACTTCTTCTTTAAGAGGCTCCTCTGTCCTCCACTCATTACCTGTATTAATGGCACCTGTTTGAACTTGTTATCAGTATAAAAGACACCTGTCCACAACCTCAAACAGTCACACTCCAAACTCCACAATGGCCAAGACCAAAGAGCTGTCAAAGGACACCAGAAACAAAATTGTAGACCTGCACCAGGCTGGGAAGACTGAATCTGCAATAGGTAAGCAGCTTGGTTTGAATAAATCAACTGTGGGAGCAATTATTAGGAAATGGAAGACATACAAGACCACTGATAATCTCCCTCGATCTGGGGCTCCAAGCAAGATCTCACCCCGTGGGGTCAAAATGATCACAAGAACGGTGAGCAAAAATCCCAGAACCACACAGGTGGACCTAGTGAATGACCTGCAGTGAGCTGGGACCAAAGTAACAAAGCCTACCATCAGTAACACACTACGCCGCCAGGGACTCAAATCCTGCAGTGCCAGACGTGTCCCCCTGCTTAAGCCAGTACATGTCCAGGCCCGTCTGAAGTGCATTTGGATGATCCAGAAGAGGATTGGGAGAATGTCATATGGTCAGATGAAACCAAAATATAACTTTTTGGTAAAAACTCAACTCGTCGTGTTTGGAGGACAAAGAATGCTGAGTTGCATCCAAAGAACACCATACCTACTGTGAAGCATGGGGGTGGAAACATCATGCTTTGGGGCTGTTTTTCTGCAAAGGGACCAGGACGACTGATCCGTGTAAAGGAAAGAATGAATGGGGCCATGTATCGTGAGATTTTGAGTGAAAACCTCCTTCCATCAGCAAGGGCATTGAAGATGAAACGTGGCTGGGTCTTTCAGCATGACAATGATCCCAAACACACCGCCCAGGCAACGAAGGAGTGGCTTCGTAAGAAGCATTTCAAGGTCCTGGAGTGGCCTAGCCGGTCTCCAGATCTCAACCCCATAGAAAATCTTTGGAGGGAGTTGAAAGTCCGTGTTGCCCAGCGACAGCCCCAAAACATCACTGCTCTAGAGGAGATCTGCATGGAGGAATGGGCCAAAATACCAGCAACAGTGTGTGAAAACCTTGTGAAGACTTATAGAAAACGTTTGACCTGTGTCATTGCCAACAAAGGGTATATAACAAAGTATTGAGAAACTTTTGTTATTGACCAAATACTTATTTTCCACCATCATTTGCCAATAAATTCATTAAAAATCCTACAATGTGATTTTCTGGAGAGAAAAAAAATCTCATTTTGTCTGTCATAGTTGACCTGTACCTATGATGAAAATTACAGGCCTCTCTCATCTTTTTAAGTGGGAGATCTTGCACAATTGGTGGCTGACTAAATACATTTTTTCCCCACTGTAGCAACAGCTATGGAGGAGAAAGTGGCGCTGTCGGAATGTTCAGATAGGAACCACATTGGCCCATCTCTCTACATATATGTCTCTGGTATTTCCTTAGTCCAGTCTTTGCCTTGAAACATTGGTGAATGTGTCAGAACCCCATCCCAAAGAAATAACAGACACAAACAACTGAACAACAATATCTCAACACAGAGGGGAGCTGACATGGTTTCCATGGCAAACATCAGTTCCGGGTGTTTTGTCACTGAGCAGTACTACACCCTCTGGCCAGACTTGGCTTTCCCACGCGGGGCGAGCCAAGGGTCATGCTGCCTTGATGGGGGTCCAGACTAATACCATTAGCAGGCAGAAACACATGCGACTCAGGTACTATACTTGATCTTAGCCAAAAGGTTAATGCAGTGGCGTGTTGTGGCGTGACGCTCGCAAAAAAATAAAGATCTGTAAGCAATTCTATTTCATTGTAAATAAACAAGTGTCAAATTGTGAATGAGGGAAAACATAAACAATACACTCATTAAGTGTATGCAAATGGCCTCAACTGGTCAACCCATCTTGTGACATGTATACAAGATTTAAGAGCAGACCAGGCACATTGCTTTGAGAGAGACAGAACGGCCGTGTGTCAAAGACCCATTGAGAGACAAAGACCCATTGAGAGAACTGTTATGTAACGGCGTCGTAACTTTACACACAGTCTGTACAGCAACAGTCACTAATTGTCCATTGTTGTCAGGGCTATGGGCCAGGGAGGAGTTGCCTCTCGTTCCTGTAGCATTCCTGTACTGAGCAGGCATGGGGTCTCTGTTCCTCGCAGCAGCCACAGCGACGCGATGTCAGGACCTGTTAAAGCATTTACTGTCAGAACCCTAACCCAGACGGACTGTGCCTCACTGTGGAGGACGTTGTGTCCAGATCTTTCTGATCAGATCTGACCCAATCCCAGGCAACCTCCGGCCCCTGGCCTTTCTGCTTTTTATTTGGGAGGATGTGACCAGTTGAAAGCTCACCATGGTGCAGACTGAGACCAGTTCTGGGTTACAGACAAGAGGATATGATGTTGACCTCCCGCGAGCCGCTCTTGCTAAATTCCACATCTGTCGACAAAACATGCCCCCTCTCCCCCAACCCCCCTCCTATTGTAAATATGCAGGCTGGGTTGCTTTCTGTACTGCATTTTCTCTTTCCTTCAGATATTTTCCCTCCTTCCTCCACCCCAATGATCACGCCACACCAGTCCTGTAGGCGGCTTCCTTAACCGTCCAACTAGGACCATTATGAAATCCCAAATAAACACAGCTAATGCATCAGAGAGGGGGATGTCATCTGGGACAAATAGCAATGCATTTGTGTTATGTCAGTGGGGAGCAAGGGAAAACAGAATTCAGCTCAATTGTACAGCTGTGAACCCCACTCCGACCCCCCTGCCCTCCTCCGACCCCCAACCCACCCATAACCAGTCCTGCTGTTGCCTCCAACACGGTCACATGGCCTCCCTCCACGAGGCTCCAGTCCCAACTGGACAGCTCCGACCATTAACCCCTGCTGTGTCCCATTTAGGGCTGAGATGTGAGGTCTACACCTGTCGCTGGCTGAGCAGAGCCCTATCTCCCACCAAAACGACGGCCCCTGCATCCCCTCCATCCCTGACAAACCATTCCACCAGCCGCAACCTCATATGGGCCGGATTCAACAACAGTTAAGTGGGATGTGCCGCAAGCAGCAAGCAGCAAACCGCACATGCACCCTTCAGGCGTTCATTGCACAACCAGTTTTACCCCCATCTGAGACCCTGGTTTGAAGTGGATGAGTGATGGAATATTGTCACAGTAGGGATTCTGAAACATATGGTGATAATTGTGTTAGATTTGTTCATAAGCTGTTTGTTTCAATTTCAAGTTTTAATGTCACGTGCTCAAGTTTAGTGAAATGTATTTTTGCAAGCTCTAAACCCAACAATGCTGTGATCAATATCAATGTAGTACTAAAAAATAACATAAGGTAGAACAAAAACACATGAGAAATAAAAATAAGAAATAAGAAGAACACGAGAAAGCAAGAAGCTATATACAGGGTCAGTTCCAATACCATATGTACAATGTGCAGGGATACTGGAGTGATAGAGGTAGATACGTATAGGGTTAAGGTGACTAGGCATCGGGATGTATGATAAACAGAGTAGCAGCAGCGTAAATGAAGATTATATGTGAGTGTATGTGCATGTGTGTAGAGTCAGTATAAATGTGTGTGCGTGTTATGTGTGTGTTCGCGTGTCAGTGTGTGTGAGTCCTGTGAGTGTGCATAGAGACAGTGCAAAAAAATGGATAAATACAAGGGTCAACTCAGATAGTCCTGTAGCCATTTTGTTAGCTATTTAGCAGTCTTATGGCTTGGGGATAGAAGCTTTTTAGGAGCCTGTTGGTGTCAGACTTGATGCACTGGTACCGCTTGCCGTGCGGAAGCAGAGAGAACGGTCTATGGCTTGTGTGGCTGGAGTCTTTAATGATTTTCCGGCCCTTCCTTTCACACGGCCTGATATAGATGGCAGGGAGCTCGGCCCCAGTGATGTACTGGGCTGTCCGCACCACGATCGAGGGTGGTTCTGTTGCCATACCAAGCAGTGATGTAGCCAGTCAAGAAGCTCTCAATGGTGCAGCTGTAGAACTTTCAGAGGATTTGAGAGCCCATGACAAACTTTTTCAACCTCCGGAGGGAGAAGAGGTGCTGTCGCGCCTTCTTCATGACTGTGACCGTGTGTGTGATTTTGGAGCCCGAGGAACTTGAAACTCTCGACCCGCTCCACTGCAGCCCCGTGATGTAACTCTAGGTTACTGTCAGAGTGTACTGTATTTGTCCATCTTGTGAAAGGACTGTATGTTATCAAGCTCTCGACCATAGCTCTTTAGGCCTAACCTTGTCCCCAGGCTCAATTGCTAGAGAGAGAGAGCTGGCTGGTGGACGAGATTACATTAGACCATGTGTTTTAGACTACCTCAGCCTACTCCGGTGGTGGTGACCAGAGGCCTTGCTTTGATCCCTCATTCAGGTGTTTAGGACCCTGGCCGTGACCCTCTCCTCCTCCAGTCTCCTCAGGGTTATGTTTGTTTCCCGTAGAGGGTCCAGTTTCCACAGGCCTCAGAAGGCTGGGTGTGTGCAGTCAACACACCTTAAGGTCAGAGTCAGTGGATGCATGGTGGCAAGGTGAGAGGGGGTTTCAGGGAAATCTGCAGATAGACACAAGGTCGGCGAGGACATACCCATGCAGGACATCCTCTCTCTCTCTGATTGTCTCGTTTCACCTTTCTTTTGGTTCTATCTTTCATCCTTTTATCTGTACTGTATCGTCACTGTGTGTGCATATATTCACTCATTTTTCTGTGTACAATTTCGCTGTCTCTCATCTCATGATTATTTTTTCCTTTGCATTGCTTTTTAATTTAAATGCAATAAAACTGTAATGGAAATGTCCCTTTTTAGATAGAAGAATGTGCCTTACTGATTGACTTCTTACAGAAAACAACTATTTGAATCATTGACACCTTAACACTGTGGGTTGGGCTGTTTTTGCACAGCAGACTCCAGTACTATATTTCAAGTTGTATGAATAGTAAAAAGGAAAATAAATACATTATCTCCACAACCCTACCTTCATGACAATTTGTAATAAATAAAATAAATAACTAGAAAATCCGTTGCACATAAGCTATTGATTGGCAGGCCATTCCAGCACTGAATATTGCACTATGAAGTCCATTGTACAAAAGCAAACACGTTCACCTGGGTTACGTAAATTCCAATAAACTCTCTAGCCTATGTCTACCTATTAAAACTTTAGGCCCTCCCTCTCAAGTAGGGCGACCTAGTTAGAATGGGCAAGCGCTCTCTATAAACTCCATGCTAGTTCTTCAATCATTGCAAATGTGTCTGACTCGAACAGCCTCCTGTTGAAACACTTTCCCTGTTTCCCATAGGACGCTGTCATTGGATTAGTTCTATTATCCAGACAGGAGTGCCATCCCTACTCCCGGTACTTCAGACTAAGGCTTGCTGACTGTCAAGGTTGTCCACCGGCACCGCACTGCCACCTACTCGACCGGACCTGCAAATTGGCTTGATTGTGTGCTCAGGACGCAACGATGGGGAAGGACGACGCAAGAGCAGAGTGGGACAATCCCATGCAATTTGTCCTGGCGTGTATATCATACGCGGTTGGACTGGGAAATGTGTGGCGTTTTCCATACTTGTGTCAAATGCATGGCGGGGGTAAGCAATATTTATTTATTTATTTATTTATTGTTTTCCGACAACAGGTGCAGCGCAGAGCCTAATTTCGGGTTTCATCCATAATATATTGTAAATTTAGGCCCACAGTTATTTTTGATTAAATATCGAACTGCAATATTTGACACTGTTTAAAATTAATGAATACAATTAGTGTTTACTGATTGAAAGTTGTAATGTAGGCTATATGAATAGCCAGTCAGTGGCCCAATTTATTCACCTTTATCCATGCGCAATGGCGCACTGATCTTGTGCGGTTGTAGAATGGGTTAGTTATTATTTTACCCTGGGTGAAACGTTATCAGTTTATTATCCATTTACAGGGAATCTGAAAGCTTACCATATGGTTGTTAAACATTTCTAATGAGTGAAGGTGTTACTGTGCAGCCTTTTGTTTTCTTCCTCTAAAAGTTAATGGTGCAGGAAATTTGCAATGGTTTTTGAAAAATTCTCTCACTTAGTTGTTAGTTCAATTAATATTTTTCATATTCCTCCCCATAAGTCACTGAGAACATTTAGTCCACTCAAAAACAGAGGGTATGCATGTACCAAAGCCCATACATAAAGGAGCTTTTAAAAGCACACGCATAAAATAACTTTCCACTCCAAGTTTGGATTGATACAGAGCCCACTTTTAACCCTTAACACGCCCCGTTGTTTGTCACAGAATAACAATGGATCAGCATTTGCTTTTGTATTTCGCTTTTAATGGTCTCAACTGATTACAAAGTTTTACAATTAGTAGCCTAACAGTCAACAGGTGTTTATGTTGTGTTCTTCCATTCATAGATTCCTAGAAAATGTTCACATACAGGAGACTCCTTGATGCCTCGGTTGCTTTAAGGCCCATATGTCCATTCCATAAATACAGATGTGGTATGCTAGTAGAGTTATTGTGTATTTATTATTGTAGAGTTATTGCCTTAATGTAATTGTCCAGTAAAAAAAAAAAAATCAAAGTTAATATTCTGTTAACTCATACCCATATAATGTTGTTGTCTCGTCCTATACTCGTATTTGTGTCCAAAGCATAAATTGGATAAACAAAAACACTTCAAAAACCCCAACTCAAACTTGTATCTCAAACAGTCAGTTTAAAAAATGCTTGCTATTTCCTCATCGAGTATCAAATCAATCAAATCGACAACAAAAAATGTCACATCCTTCGTACACAACAGGTGTAGACTAACGGTGAAATGCTTACGGACCCTTCCCAACAATGCAGAGAGTAATAACAAGAGGAATAAATACACAATGAGTAACGATAACTTGGCTATATACACAGGGTACCAGTACCGAGTCGATGTGTAGGGGTACGAAGTAATTGAGATAGATATGTACATATACAGTGGGGAAAAAAAGTATTTAGTCAGCCACCAATTGTGCAAGTTCTCCCACTTAAAAAGATGAGAGAGGCCTGTAATTTTCATCATAGGTACAGGTCAACTATGACAGAAAAAATGAGATTTTTTTTCTCCAGAAAATCACATTGTAGGATTTTTAATGAATTTATTGGCAAATGATGGTGGAAAATAAGTATTTGGTCAATAACAACAGTTTCTCAATACTTTGTTATATACCCTTTGTTGGCAATGACACAGGTCAAACGTTTTCTATAAGTCTTCACAAGGTTTTCACACACTGTTGCTGGTATTTTGGCCCATTCCTCCATGCAGATCTCCTCTAGAGCAGTGATGTTTTGGGGCTGTCGCTGGGCAACACGGACTTTCAACTCCCTCCAAAGATTTTCTATGGGGTTGAGATCTGGAGACTGGCTAGGCCACTCCAGGACCTTGAAATGCTTCTTACGAAGCCACTCCTTCGTTGCCTGGGCGGTGTGTTTGGGATCATTGTCATGCTGAAAGACCCAGCCACGTTTCATCTTCAATGCCCTTGCTGATGGAAGGAGGTTTTCACTAAAAATCTCACGATACATGGCCCCATTCATTCTTTCCTTTACACGGATCAGTCGTCCTGGTCCCTTTGCAGAAAAACAGCCCCAAAGCATGATGTTTCCACCCCCATGCTTCACAGTAGGTATGGTGTTCTTTGGATGCAACTCAGCATTCTTTGTCCTCCAAACACGACGAGTTGAGTTTTTACCAAAAAGTTATATTTTGGTTTCATCTGACCATATGACATTCTCCCAATCCTCTTCTGGATCATCCAAATGCACTTCAGACGGGCCTGGACATGTACTGGCTTAAGCAGGGGGACACATCTGGCACTGCAGGATTTGAGTCCCTGGCGGCGTAGTGTGTTACTGATGGTAGGCTTTGTTACTTTGGTCCCAGCTCTCTGCAGGTCATTCACTAGGTCCCCCCGTGTGGTTCTGGGATTTTTGCTCACCGTTCTTGTGATCATTTTGACCCCACGGGGTGAGATCTTGCGTGGAGCCCCAGATCGAGGGAGATTATCAGTGGTCTTGTATGTCTTCCATTTCCTAATAATTGCTCCCACAGTTGATTTCTTCAAACCAAGCTGCTTACCTATTGCAGATTCAGTCTTCCCAGCCTGGTGCAGGTCTACAGTTTTGTTTCTGGTGTCCTTTGACAGCTCTTTGGTCTTGGCCATTGTGGAGTTTGGAGTGTGACTGTTTGAGGTTGTGGACAGGTGTCTTTTATACTGATAACAAGTTCAAACAGGTGCCATTAATACAGGTAACGAGTGGAGGACAGAGGAGCCTCTTAAAGAAGAAGTTACAGGTCTGTGAGAGCCAGAAATCTTGCTTGTTTGTAGGTGACCAAATACTTATTTTCCACCATAATTTGCAAATAAATTCATTAAAAATCCTACGATGTGATTTTCTGGATTTTTTTCTTCTCAATTTGTCTGTCATAGTTGACGTGTACCTATGATGAAAATTACAGGCCTCTCTCATCTTTTTAAGTGGGTGAACTTGCACAATTGGTGGCTGACTAAATACTTTTTTTCCCCACTGTAGGTAGGGCAAGTGACTAGGCAACAGTATAGATAATAAACAGTAGCAGCAGCGTATGTTATGAGTCAAAAGAGTTAGTGAAAAGAGGTCAATGCAGATAGTCTGGGTAGCTATTTGGTTAACTATTTAGTAGTCTTATGGCTTCCATAAGATACAGACTTGGTACAGACTTGGTGTATCGGTACCACTTGCCGTGCGGTAGTGGAGAGAACAGTCTGTGACTTGGGTGGCTGGAGTCTTTGACAATTTTTAGGACGTTCTTCTGACACCACCTGGTATAGATGGCAGGGAGCTCATCCCCAGTGATGTACTGGGCCGTACGCGCTACCCTCTGCAGGGCCTTGCGGTCAGATGCCAAGCAGTTGCCATACCAAGCAGTGATGCAGCCAGTCAAGATGTTCTCAATGGTGCAGCTATAGAACCTTTTTAGGATCTGAGGGTCCATGCCAAATCTTTTCAGCCTCCTGAGGGGGAAGAGGTGTTGTTGTGATGTGTTGGTGTGTGTGGACCATGTTAATTACTTAGTAATGTGGACACCTGAGGAACTTGAAGCTTTTGACCCGCTCCACTACAGCCCCTTCGATGTGGATGGGGGCATGCTCAGCCCTCCGTTTCCTGTAGTCCACGATAAGCTAATTTGTCTTGCTGACGTTGAGGGAGAGGTTGTTGTCTTGGCACCACACTGCCAGGTCACTGACCTTCTTGCTATAGGTAGTCTCATCGTTGTTGGTGATCAGGCCTACCACCGTCGTGTCGTCAGCAAACTTAATGAAGGTGTTGGAGTCATGTGAGTACAGGAGGGGACTAAGCACATACTCCTGAGGGGCCCCCGTGTGTTGAGGGTCAGCGTGGCGGATATGTTGTAGCCTACCCTCACCACCTGGGGCCAGCCCGTCAGGAAGTCCAGGATCCAGTTTCAGAGGGAGGTGTTCAGTCCCAGGGTCCTGAGCTTAGTGATGAGCTTGTAAGGCTCTATGATGTTGAACGCTGACCTGTAGTCAATGAACAGTATTCTCACATAGGTGTTCCTCTTGTTCAGGTGGGAGAGGGCAGTGTGGAGTGCAATAGAGTGCGTCAGCTGTGGATCTGTTGAGGCGGTATGCGAATTGGAGTGGGTCCAGGGTGTCTGGGATGATGGTGTTGATGTGAGCCATGACCAGCCTTTCAAAGCATTTCATGGCTACAGATGTGAGTGCTACGGGGCAATAGTCATTTAGACAGGTTACCTTGGCGTTCTTGGGCACAGGGACTATGGTGGTCTGCTTGAAACATGTAGGTATTACAGACTGGGTCAGGGAGAGGTTGAAAATGTCAGTGAAGACACCCGCCAGCTGGTCAGTGCATGTTCTGAGTACGCATCCTGGTAATCCGTCTGGCCCCGCGGCTTTGTGAATTTTAACCTGTTTAAAGGTCCTACTCACATTCCCTACGGAGAGCGAGATCACACAGTCATCCGGAACTACTGGTGCTGTCATGCATGGTTCAGTGTTGCTTGCCTCGAAGTGAACATAGAAGGCATTTAGCTCCTCTGGTAGGCTTGCGTCACTGGGCAGCTCACGACTGGGTTTCCCTTTGTAATCCTTGACATCTGACGAGTGTCAGAGCCGGCGTAGTAGGATTAGATCTTAGTCCTGTATTGACACTTGGCCTGTTTGATGGCTCATCAGATGTCGTAGCGGATTTCTTGTAAGTGTCTGGATTAGTGTCCCGCCTCTTGAAAGCTGCAGCTCTAGCGTTTCTGTGTGTGGGGTAAAAGTGACCTAGAGTTTTGTTGACTCTAGTTGCACAGGTGACATGATGGTAAAAATAAGGCAAAATGGATTTCAGTTTCCCTGCATTAAAATCACCGGCCACAAGAAGCGCCCTCTCTGGATGTGGATTTTCTTGTTTGCTTATGGCCCTATACAGAGCGTTGAGTGCGGTCTTAGTGCCAGCATCGGTTTGTGGTGTATGATGTCATACTAATGAGTAGGGTGAGCTGGCCAATCAGCAGTCTAGAGGAGGATGAGCTGGCCAATCAGTGGTCTATTCGCATTCATATTTTTAATGACCGATATACACCCACACCATTCTGTTGTTGGAGTATGCCCACACCACCGGAGGTTGGTGGCACCTTAATTGGGGAGGACGGGCTTGTGGTAATGGCTGGAGCGGAATAGGTGGAATGGTATCAAAAACATCGAACACATGGTTTCCATGTGTAAATAATTGAAGTGTTTCATTCCAAAATGCTCTATATACATTTTCTGAAATGTTGGTAAATTAGGTCTTATTGTTTAAAGAATTTATGAAAGAGATTGGTGTGTTATTTCACCATCTAATCAGGGCATGGGCTTGTTCAATGACAGACATGTATTTGTTTAAAATCTATCACTTGATGGTTTCATTTAAGAGAAACAAATAATCCTGTTTTGTTGCAAAACGCGAGAAATAAGTACTACTGCTAGGTTTTACACAGTTAAATGTGACAAATAACGAAACGTTTAATAAAGAACTGTACAAATGATACATTTGTGAAATCAATATTATTATTTTTAATTTAAAAAATGAATCACTATAGTAATGTGAGATCTGTATGTAAAATGTTTACATTTGACATTATAGTAATCTCTTATCCAGAGCGACAGTTAGTGCATTATGATAGCTAGGTGAGACAACCACATATCACAGTGAAATATACAGGATACGAACATTCCATTCCAACTAAACAATGGATACATAGTGTTTTGCTAATAAAAAAAATAAAAAAAATAATACATATCTAAAATATATTCATAACAAAACGGAGAAAAGTAATATTTTACACACACACATGAAGGTACCCATAAGCAATCATGTTTTTGGTGAAAAAACACAAATGTGAAAAATGTGTGGATATAGCATTTTGGAACGAAACTTCAATTATAGGTCATATTTCATAGAATTCTGGACACACTGGACAGTTACTTTAAGGCAATGTCCCACCAACTTGACACTGACAGAGATAAGATGACGGAAGAAAAATACACTTTAACTACCTCATGAAATTCTACCTCATGAAATTCTACCTCATGAAATGGTATACCTTTGTTGTTCTACCTTATAAATTGTTCTACCCTTGTTGATTTAATATTTGCAAGAATGCATGCCCCCCTTGAGGCGACTTGCATGCCCCTATGAGGCTCTGGTTTAGGAGAAGCTGCTCAATACTCATAATCTACATCAGGCTTACACGTAATGACAGGATTTCAAGCATATAGTCATCAAAATGACATGTGTGACAACCAGTACAGCATGAGTGTGGACAAATGACAGGAGGTCCCAAAAATGATCATATTTACAAAATGAAATGTCCCTCTCATTGTTAAAAGATCGCAAGGTAAAACAGAAAGATGGGACATTAGGGGTTAGGGGTCTTGCATAAACATATTGAGGACCCCCTTAAGTTCTATATTATGTTATCATTGCATTGTGCATTTTGTATTTTACAGTGTTTAAAAAAATAATTTGGCAGAGTGTAAATAATCACCTGATACACATTACAATAACATGATTTTACAATCATGTTTTTCTTGTGCAACAACTTGAGGAATCTGAGATCACAGTACAGGAAAAGCTATTTATTCCAATACTTCCAACTATTCCAACTTCCATCTAATCCTTATCCGATTATACAAGCTGTTTCTGTGTGAACACTCATTCACAAGGGTTCATTACAATCAAAGGAAGGTAGCATGAAGCATCTGAGAGCTAGAAGCATGGAATCTTCCATCTAACTGCTAAATTAGGGACAATTACATGCAATTTTTTACCACTATGTTCACCCACTGAATTAATTAATTAATTAATTAATGAACGGACGGATGGATGGACGAGTGAATTAATGAAGGAGTGAATAAATGAATTCCAAAACGGTTCCAAGCCATTACCTGGTGCAGTGACTGACCCGTCTCTAGACTCGCTTTGACCTTGTGTTTGTGTCACTGAGCATGTCCCCAAGCTCCACTGTCGCCCTCACCCACTGCCCCCTTCACTCCCTGCCCCCCTGCCTGCTTACTGTAATTACTGTCAACGACTTAGACTAGCAGGCTGGAAATCACAGGAGACAGGTCACTTTGACCCAGGCCAGACAGTTTTTTGTGTGATTCCTATGAATACTGAGAAAGCCAGAGAGAACAGAACCCAGTAGAAACATGAATGAAGCTTTGTTTAGATGTTAGACCCTTGATCAAAGAATAGTGAAGGAAGCACTGTACTGCACTGCACCCTTTCTTTCCATTAATATATAGGGAGAAGAAATATGCAACAGAATACAAGGACCGAGACCACATTCATTATGTAAATAAAATAGAACTATTAAGAATGAGAACACATTTTCTGGGTGTCATGTGAATCTGAAGCTCAGTGCATTACCTTATAGATCATGTGTGTGTGTTTGTCTCTGCTACTGCAGGTATTGTACAAGTGGGTTTCTTTTGTGTGTTTTGAATGGTAAAATATACTGTATGTGTGTCCTTTTTCTGTCCTCAGGTGGCTTCCTGATCCCATACATGCTCATGCTGGTCCTGTTGGGTGTACCCTTGTTCTACATGGAGTTAGCCATTGGCCAGAAGATGCGTCTGGGCAGCATTGGAGCATGGAGAGCTATTAGCCCCTATCTGGGGGGAGTGGGTGAGTACTGAATATATACAGTACCAGTCAAAAGTTTGGACACACCTACTCATTCCAGGGTTTTTCTTTATTTTTACTATTTTCTGCATTGTAGAATAATAGTGAAGACATCAAAACTATGAAATAACACATATGGAATCATGTAGTAACCAAAAAAGTGTTAAACAAATCGAAAAATATTTTATATTTGAGATTCTTCAAAGTAGCCACCCTTTGCCTTGATGACAGCTTTGCATACTCTTTGCATTCTCTCAACCAGCTTCATGAAGTAGTCACCTAGAATGCATTGCAATTAACAGGTGTGACTTGTTAAAAGTTAATTTGTGTAATTTCTTTCCTTCTTAATGCGTTTGAGCCAATCAGTTGTGTTCTCACGAGGTAGGGTGGTTATACAGAAGATAGCCCTATTTGGTAAAAGACCAAGTTCATATTATGGCAAGAACAGCTCAAATAAGCAAAGAGAAACGACAGTCCATCATTAATTTAAGACATGAAGGTCAGTCAATCCGGAAAATGTAAAGAACTTTCAAAGTTTCTTCAAGTGCAGTTGCAAAAACGATCAAGCGCTATGATGAAACTGGCTCTCATGAGGACCACCACAGGAAAGGAAGACCCAGAGTTACCTCTGCTGCAGAGGATAAGTTCATTAGAATAACTGCATCTCAGATTGCAGCCCAAATAAATGCTTCTTGGAGTTCAAGTAATAGACATATCTCAACATCAACTGTTCAGAGGAGACTGCGTGAATCAGGCCTTCATGGTCGAATTGCTGCAAAACAAACACTACTAAAGGACACCAATAAAAATAAGAGACTTGCTTGGGCGAAGAAACACGAGCAATGGACATTAGACCAGTGGAAATCTGTCCTTTGGTCTGATGAGTCCAAATTTGAGATTTTTGGTTCCAACCGCCGTGTCTTTGTGAGACGCAGAGTAGGTGAACGGATGATCTCTGCATGTGTGGTTCCCACCGTGAAGCATGGAGGAGGAGGTGTGATGGTGTGGGGGTGCTTTGCTGGTGACACAGCATTCTGCAGCGATACGCCATCCCATCTGGTTTACGCTTAGTGGGACTATAATTTGTTTTTCTACAGGATAATGACCCAAAACACACCTCCAGGCTGTGTAAGGGCTATTTGACCAAGAAGGAGAGTGATGGAGTGCTGCATCAGATGACCTGGCCTCCACAATCACCTGACTTCAACCCAATTGAGATGGTTTGGGATGAGTTGGACCGCAGAGTGAAGGGAAAGCAGCCAACAGGTGCTCAGCATATGTGGGAACTCCTTCAAGGCTGTTGGAAAGGCATTCCAGGTGAAGCTGGTTGAGAGAATGCCAAGAGTGTGCAAAGCTGTCATCAAGGCAAAGGGTGGCTACTTTGAACAATCTCAAATCTAAAATATATTTTGATTTGTTTAACACTTTTTTGGTTACTACATGATTCCATATGTGTTATTTCATAGTTTTGATGTCTTCACTATTATTCTACAATGTAGAAAATAGTAAAAATAAAGAAAAACCCTTGAATGAGTAGGTGTGTCCAAACTTTTGACTGGTACTGTATATATATCATTTATTTATTTATTATTATTAATAATACTTTTTTGGACAGAGGACACTGCACATAGAGTGCTGCACATGTATGGGTGCACACTGCCATTGAAAAAAGTACATAAACTTGCCTATAATTTATCACACACATATTTAAATATATGGTTTTGTTACATTTAGGCCAGTACTACTGTGTCAAATGTACAGTGTTGGGGAAGCTAAATATAGTTTATAGTTTAAGCTACCAATATATAGTTTACTTAACTAAAGTTACTTTGAAAAAGTAGTTCACTACATACAAACTACTTTGTGAAAAATTACCATATGTAAATCTGAAATGTCATCGATTACAAATTGCAAGAACAGTTCACTTTGGGGTCTTTTGTTAACAAAATGTGTAATTTAGCCTATTAAACACAAAAATGATGTTTCAAGTGAGAATTAGGCAGGTCTGAAGAAAGGAAAGTATTGTCTACTTCACCCATATTTTCTATTCTTTTTGCAAAAAATGTAGTGTGTAGTTCCAGTAGTTAACTACACCACTACCTGGCAAATAAGTAATTAACCAGAGGGTTCTACATGGAAACCAAATGGGTTCAACCTGGAACTAAAAAGGGTTCTACCTGCAACCAAAAAGGGTTCTCCTATGGGGACAGCCGAAGAACCCTAAAATGTAAGCTACTGTAAAAAGTAATTAAATTACTAGTTGAATTACATGTAGTTTACTTCTCCCCAACACTGCAAATCTATTTCAACAACCAAATAAAAGTATCCTCATCAAAGATGCAAATGAGATATTATCTGCTTATAGTTTAAATAGATATGTTCTTCTCTCTGCTGGTTCCAGGTCTGGCCAGTGTTGTGACCTCCATGTACCTATGCCTCTATTACAATGTCATCAATGCATGGAGTTTCTGGTACCTCTTCCATTCATTCCAGGTTAGTTCCAGTCTCACAATGGCAAAATTATATTTATTTTCGATAGAGCAATTCAAAGTATTTGACCTGCATTCAGATGTATGATGTGATCATAAAATGTAGACAATCTTCAATAAGTTGTTACAATCTTATTACAAGCTGTATCAACAGGCTCACTCAGCTTTGAGGACAGACTATTGGTGTTGTGCAGACTGTTTTGTTTGGATCTTTAGAAGATGCAATTCTTTGTTCTATTTCTATCTGTAACGTCCTGTGCCTGACCTGACCTGTGCTGTTTCCTCCCACTCTGCTCCAGTCGGTCCTGCCATGGGCAGAGTGCCCGATTAACAGCAACCTGACCGGCCCTGTGGAGGAATGTGAGCGGGCCACGCCCACCCAGTACTTCTTCTACAGAGAGACCCTGGACATTTCCGGGTCCATCGAGGAGAACGGAGGGATCCACATGGGACAGGCGCTCTGCCTCCTGCTGGCCTGGATGATTGTCTACCTGTTCATCGTCAAGGGGGTCAAGTCCACCGGGAAGGTGAGAGGTCAGAGGTCAGCTCGGTAACGATGGACAGGGTCAAGACAGTTATGGCACCCTTATGTCATGCAAGCTGCAGATCTAGTGGATGTAGGTCACTATTGTCTCCTATGTCATAAGGTACAGTGAGGGAAAAAAGTATTTGATCCCCTGCTGATTTTGTACATTTGCCCACTGACAAAGAAATGATCAGTCTATAATTTTAATGGTAGGTTTATTTGAACAGTGAGAGACAGAATAACAAAAAAAAAATCAAGAAAAACGCATGTCAAAAATGTTATAAATTGATTTGCATTTTAATGAGGGAAATAAGTATTTGACCCCCTCTCAATCAGAAAGATTTCTGGCTCCTAGGTGTCTTTTATACAGGTAACGAGCTGAGATTAGGAGCACACTCTTAAAGGGAGTGCTCTTAATCTCATCTTGTTACCTGTATAAAAGACACCTGTCCACAGAAGCAATCAATCAATCAGATTCCAAACTCTCCACCATGGCCAAGACCAAAGAGCTCTCCAAGGATGTCAGGGACAAGATTGTAGACCTACACAAGGCTAGAATGGGCTACAAGACCATCGCCAAGCAGCTTGGTGAGAAGGTGACAACAGTTGGTGCGATTATTCGCAAATGGAAGAAACACAAAATAACTGTCAATCTCCCTCGGCCTGGGGCTCCATGCAAGATCTCACCTCGTGGAGTTGCAATGATCATGAGAATGGTGAGGAATCAGCCCAGAACTACACAGGAGGTTCTTGTCAATGATCTCAAGGCAGCTGGGACCATAGTCACCAAGAAAACTATTGGTAACACACTACGCCGTGAATATAAGTGTCTGGAACTCTATCGGAGGGATGCAACACCATTCTTACACGAGAAATTCCATAATTTTGTGTTTTGTTGATGGTGGTGAAAACGCTGTCATAGGCGCCGCTTGCAGAATCTCCCATAAGTGTTTAATTGGGTTGAGATCTGGTCACTGAGACAACCATGGCTTATGGTTTCCATCGTTTTCATGCTCTTCAAACTATTCAGTGAACCCTCATGCCCTGTGGATGGGGGCATTGTCATCCTATGGGGGAATAGCCATGGTAGCCAAAATAATGGCCTGCCCAGCATGTTTATACATGACCCTAAGTATTATGGGATGTTAATTGCTTAATTAACTCAGGAACCACACCTGTGTGAAAGCACCTGCTTTCAGTATACTTTGTATCCCTCATTTAGTCAAGTATTTCCATTATTTTGGCAGTTACCTGTATCTTTACTGAGCAGAGGAAAACAGTCAGCTGAGAGGTGACCTCGATAACAAAGAAAAGGGTCAAGAAAGTTCTTCGTAATGGCGAGACAAGGTACAAACTGTTCAAGACTCTTATATGGTCAGAAAATTGTCCATCAAGGCAATGGTGAATAAAACAATTAAAGTTTGTGGCTGCAGAGTTTGCTAACTCAGAATGATGGGGCAGGGGAAGGGGAAGCAGATCCAATGGATCTTTACTGAACTGAGGAAAACATCAGCTGAGAGAGTGAGGGGGCCTCATAGGAAAGTTTTGAAAACCTTGGCCTACTTCATTACATAACTATCTAGAGTGGGAGTCTCTGAGGAGACAAGCCAGGGTGAAAGTAAAGGATACTGTGTCAACACAGACAGAGAACTGTTTTCTGGTCTGCTGTTCACAGTGGATTCATGGCAGGGCCGGCGTTATGGGCGGGCCCTAGGGTGCCTGGCCCGCCCTGTCGTACCTCCTTGCCCATCCGAATAAAATATAGAAATATTAATAATTTATTTGACCGAGACGCGCACTGACAGAAAGACGCATCAATCTCAGATAAAGCATCCGAGGAAGCGAAACAGCACCCCTCTGTCTCCGTATGTGTAGACCATGTATTTGATGCTGTCTATACAAAAGGAGTATGGCATGTTTTACTTTTTCAGGCCAGACAGCATCAGATACATGGGCAACATTTTTACATGTACATTTTTACATTTTAGTCATTTAGCAGACGCTCTTATCCAGAGTGACTTACAGTAGTGAGTGCATACATTTTCATACTTTATTTCCATACTGGTCCTACATATAGTAAGACAGAGGCCGCTGTTTGCTTGCTAGTTTCAGCAGAGAGGAAGAGGCGACACAAGAGGGCTCACTCTCGCCAAACTCTGTCCTGAATAAGCCCAATGTGTTTCTATGGGCATAATATGCAGACCTAAGCTTGTCGCCTGCATTCCTGCCTTTGGGACAACGACTCGCATTGTTAGGGCGGAGACATGAGAATCTCTTCATTATATACAAATATCTGGTTTCAGCCACTGTTCGGATGCTGGCTTCCCCTAAAGTAAATTGATGTTTTGCCAAAATTAAATAATTACTCCTGTCTAAATGAAATCATTAAAAATACTTTACCAGAGAGCTTGACTTAGCCACATAGGATCATTAGCTTCTTCATTTTTTAAACTAGCTGTGGATTGTTTCAAATCACAAGTGCATAGGCTTATATCTCTCTCCAGAATGCATGTACTCAGCTCTCAAGAATGTGCTCCAATGTCTCCCAACAATTCTTGAACATTCATTGTTTTATTGTGCGAATTGTTTGCCCTTTGATTGTTTATTTTGATAAATTCGCCATTACATACAGTATGTAACCAGTAGGCCTAATAAAGGTACCGTTAATCCCCCGTCATTTGGTTACATACATTTCTGTTAATGCATGTATTACAGTCATTTACCGTTCTCATTCTTGGAGTGGAAACGTTTGCAGAGTTTACAACCTGCTACACTTCTGAGAAACAAGTTTTTGTTTATTTTTTGTTTGGAGTGCTCCATGTGAGCAATTAGCATGTGTATGGTTTCTCTGTCATAATTTGAGGGAGTGCACATGTCTGAGCACGCCAACCTGCTGAGTTGATACAATGTTGCACTTCACTGTGCTACGCCACTGGAAACAGGCATAGTAGAGAGATTAATGCGATTGAAAAAACAGAATTTTCAACAGGATATTTTCTACAGTTTTTATTTTACTTTGTTGACGATGGAGGTTATAGGTCTACTGCTGCATTGGCCTATAGGCTATCTCTGAGTTCCATGTGCTAATTTCTTTAGCCGCCAATGGATCACAGTGTATCAATGTGTCCATGTGGCAAAGGCTGGTGCTCTTGCATTAGTTGCAGTTTAACTTTGAGATTTGTATTATTTAAATGAAACTGTTCCATGAAAAATAACTGGCACGCAGATGGGTAGAAATGGTAGGATAAATTGTAAGCTTCCCCAAACTTGAAACTCACAAGCTGTCTATGATCTTTATTATAACGCGCAAGCGCATGCACACAGGAGGTCCCATGAAAACTGATTCGTTCTGATTCGTTCTGGCACCGGCCCTGATTCAAGGGGTTTTTGATATTGATATGATCTCTCATCTAAAATGACCTAAAAGAGGTTCATCAAATCAAATCACATTTTAATCGTCACATGCTTTGTAAACAACAGGTGTAGATTAACAGTGAAATGCTTTCTTATGGGCCCTTCCCAACAATGCAGAGAGAAATAATAGAAAAGTAATGACATCGTTATCAATTGATGGGAAGATATACACAAACAAGTTCACTTTCACCTACAACTTCACAGTAAATTCAGCGAGCAATGTTATAAACCCGTGGGAAAAGTGTGCCAAATCTGTGTTAGCAAACAGGGAATCAGTGCAGCATAGATGAACTTTGACCCTGAATCCTTCTGCTGTTTCTGCCCTCTCTAGGTGGTGTACTTCACAGCCACCTTCCCCTACCTGGTCCTCATCATCTACCTCATCCGTGGGGTCACCCTTCACGGAGCCATCAACGGTGTCAAGTACATGTTCACGCCTAAGGTATGAATGGTTAGATGAATGAAATAACGTTATTGAGCCCCAATAACCTCTGTTTTCACAGCCAAGGTATGGTGGCTCATGGACATTGTTCTGTTCTGTTTAATCATGCTTTACATATGTGTGTGTGCTACTAATGTGTGTGTGTGTGTGTGTTTGCTGCCTCAGATGGAACAGCTGGCCAACCCCACTACGTGGATCAACGCGGCCACTCAGATCTTCTTCTCTCTGGGCCTGGGCTTTGGATCCCTCATCGCCTTTGCCAGCTACAACCAGTACAACAACAACTTTGAGAAGCAGGCCATCGTCGTGTCCATGGTCAACAGTGGCACCTCCATCTTCGCCAGTATCGTCACTTTCTCCATCTATGGCTTCAAGGCCACCTTCAACTACGAGAGCTGCCTGGAGAGGTGAGGCCCTGGGTGGGGTCGCGGCCTGGTTGGTTTTCTCATTGACTTTTGCATTGAACTTTCAACTCAGAGTAGTAGGTGACACCAGTCAGCAGCACTCAGCAAGTAGAAACGTAAACAATTCTAGGTCAAACATATACAATTAATTTAATGTCTGTAGACTGTAGCAGTTTCTGCAGACATACAGATGGAACAGATGGCAGGTGCTTGGACTTGGGAAGGCATTATAATCTAGATCAGCAATGAGAGGAAATGTATATGGGGCTAGACATACTGTATGCTTCAGATCAGAAATGCCCTTTCCAGTGGTGTAGCACAGCCATTAATAATGTCATAAGCCATGGCAAAATGTTTAGAATGACAGGAAATTAGCTATAAAACTGCAAAATCTTCTTTCAACCTCATGGCAAAATGCGTAGAATAGCAGAAAATGTGCTTTAAAACTGTAACATTTTCTCTCAGCCTCATAGCAAAATGTGTAGAATAGAATGATATTAGCTATAAAACAGTACATGTTTCTCTCTGCCAGTGGTGTACCGCTATAAAACAGCACATGTTTCTCTCTGCCAGTGGTGTACCGCTATAAAACTGCGCTACACCACTGGCCCTTTCATGACACTGACATTTCTCGTCTTCTCCCAGGGTGCGACTGCTGCTCCTGAACACCTTTGATCTAGCAGAGGACACCATCAGTCTGGAGAATGTCAACCACTGGATCGCTGAGCTGAACAGGACATACCCAGAACAGTTTGCCAGTCTGGGAGGTAGGCTGGAGACCTGTGACCTAGAGGCTGAACTAGACACGGTAGGTAATCATGATGACACACAACTCAAATGAACTAATAAACTCAATAGAACTTAATTTACTACCTCTCTTAGGGCTCGATTCAATCTGAATCGGGGAAGTTCTGCGATATAGCGCGACTGAAATTTAAAGGCAATGTTCCCGTGTTCACGGAGACTGCATTCAGGGTAAATGCTGCATAAATCGACTCAATCCGATCTTACCTTTACATTTCAACCGCACTACAGCGCAGAACTTCCACGATATGGATTGAATCGAGCCCTTAATCTAACAAAATACCTCTGGTTTCCTGCCAATATGTAAAGGCAATAAAAACGTCTCTCACCATTCTATAAATGTTTAATCTTTTAGTCATAGTTCAAAGTCACCTATTCAACTTTATTCGACTCTGTAGTGGTGGTAGTGAGATGTGGCAAATATCATTGGCTGTTGCAGTTACAATTAATGTTAATATTTAATTGTCAATGCTCTCCTGGATTTTCCATTTTGTCCATTCCACTTATGTTTCCAATGGACAAAAGCAAAAAATAAAACACTGACTTTAGCCACTTGAATAATAAATTGCGCTATGCAGGACTGAATATCCACTAAGCTCTCTCTCTCTCTCTCTCTCTCTCTCTCTCTCTCTCTCTCTCTCTCTCTCTCTCTCTCTCTCTCTCTCTCTCCCTCTCTCTCTCCCTCTCTCTCTCCCTCTCTCTCTCCCTCCCTCTCCCTCCTCTCAGGCTGTCGAGGGTACAGGCCTGGCCTTCATAGTGTACAGTGAGGCCATTAAGAACATGCCCGTGTCTCAGCTGTGGTCTGTGCTCTACTTCATCATGCTCCTGCTGCTGGGCATGGGCAGTATGCTGGGCAACGTCATCGCCGTCATCACCCCCCTCAGTGACTTGAAGTTCATCAACCGCTACATGAGCACCAAAACACTCAATGGTGAGAGAGAAGGGGTGATGAGGAGGGTTGAGCTAATGTGTGAACATTAAGCTAGTTTTAGAGTTGAGGTTGAGGGTAAGAATTGAGCTAAGGTGTGAACATGAAGCTAGGGTTAGGGTTGACTCGGGCATGTCTTGTTCTTTAGGTTGGTGTGTCTGTTCTGCCTGCTGCTTGAGTTAGGTGTGTGTGTGTACAGTGAGGGAAAAAAGTATTTGATCCCCTGCTGATTTTGTACGTTTGCCCACTGACAAAGAAATGATCAGAAATGATCAGTCTATAATTTTAATGGTAGGTTTATTTGAACAGTGAGAGACAGAATAACAACAAAGAAATCCAGAAAAACGCATGTCAAAAATGTTATAAATTGATTTGCATTTTAATGAGGGAAATAAGTATTTGACCCCTCTGCAAAACATGACTTAGTACTTGGTGGCAAAACCCTTGTTGGCAATCACAGAGGTCAGACGTTTCTTGTAGTTGGCCACCAGGTTTGCACACATCTCAGGAGGGATTTTGTCCCACTTTGCAGATCTTCTCCAAGTCATTAAGGTTTCAAGGCTGACGTTTGGCAACTCGAACATTCAGCTCCCTCCACAGATTTCCTATGGGATTAAGGTCTGGAGACTGGCTAGGCCACTCCAGGACCTTAATGTGCTTCTTCTTGAGCCACTCCTTTGTTGCCTTGGCTGTGTGTTTTGGGTCATTGTCATGCTGGAATACCCATCCACCACCCATTTTCAATGCCCTGGCTGAGGGAAGGAGGTTCTCACCCAAGATTTGATGGTACATGGCCCCGTCCATCGTCCCTTTGATGCGGTGAAGTTGTCCTGTCCCCTTAGCAGAAAAACACCCCCAAAGCATAATGTTTCCATCTCCATGTTTGACAGTGGGGATGGTATTCTTGGGGTCATAGTCAGCATTCCTCCTCCTCCAAACACGGCGAGTTGAGTTGATGCCAAAGAGCTCAATTTTGGAATCACCTGACCACAACACTTTCACCCAGTTCTCCTCTGAATCATTCAGATGTTCATTGGCAAACTTCAGACGGCCCTGTATATGTGCTTTCTTGAGCAGGGGGACCTTACGGGCGCTTCAGGATTTCAGTCCTTCATGGCGTAGTGTGTTACCAATTGTTTTCTTGGTGACTATGGTCCCAGCTGCCTTGAGATCATTGACAAGATCCTCCTGTGTAGTTCTGGGCTGATTCCTCACCGTTCTTATGATCATTGCAACTCCACAAGGTGAGATCTTGCATGGAGCCCCAGGCCGAGGGAGATTGACAGTTCTTTTGTGTTTCTTCCATTTGCGAATAATCACACCAACTGTTGTCACCTTCTCACCAAGCTGCTTGGCGATGGTCTTGTAGCCCATTCCAGCCTTGTGTAGGTCTACAATCTTGTCCCTGACATCCTTGGAGAGCTCTTTGGTCTTGGCCATGGTGGAGAGTTTGGAATCTGATTGATTGATTGCTTCTGTGGACAGGTGTCTTTTATACAGGTAACAAACTGAGATTAGGAGCGCTCCCTTTCAGAGTGTAATCCTAATCTCAGCTCGTTACCTGTATAAAAGACACCTGGGAGCCAGAAATCTTTCTGATTGAGAGGGGGTCAAATACTTATTTCCCTCATTAAAATGCAAATCAATTTATAACATTTTTGACATGCGTTTTTCTGGATTTCTTTGTTGTTATTCTGTCTCTCACTGTTCAAATTAACCTACCATTAAAATTATAGACTGATCATTTCTTTGTCAGTGGGCAAACGTACAAAATCAGCAGGGGATCAAATACTTTTTTCCCTCACTGTATGTGACTAACAGGTGTGTTGTCCCATCCTACATTTTACATTTTTGTCATTTAGCAGATGCTCTTATCCAGAGTGACTTACAATTAGTGCATTCATCTTAAGATAGCTAAGTGAGATAACCACATATCACAGTCGTAGTGAGTACATTTTTTCTCAATAAAGAAGTTATCATCAAAGTCAGTGCTTGTAGGAAAAGATAAGTGCACCTTTTCTTTTGGGGGGGGGGGGTGGGGGGTAAAACTGAGATGTCTTATTTAAGATACTATTGGAAGAGATAGGGTTTCAGACATTTTCGGAAGATGGGCAGGGACTGTCTTAGCATCGGGGGAAGCTGGTTCCACCATTGGGGTGCCAGGACAGAGAGGAGCTTGGACTGGGCTGAGTGGGCCAATCTTCTAGGTTTGGTGTGTGTATGTGACTAACAGGTGTGTTGTCATATCCTGTAGGTCTGGTGTGTCTGTTCTGCCTGCTGCTTGGCCTGGGCTTCACCACCCGATCTGGGAACTACTGGTTCACCATGTTCAATGACTATGGAGCCACCTTCTCTCTGCTCTTCATCGTCCTCATCGAAGTTATCACCGTCTGCTACATATATGGCATCAAAAGGTGTGTGTGTGTGTACAATATTGACAATGAAGAATGACTCATTTCAGAAGCTTTCTAAGCATCATCACCTCAACTGTTCGAAATCAGAAAAACTAACATCTTGTTGTTCAGTACCTTATCTCCAAGAAACAATAGTTGAGCTGACATTATTTGAAACAGTTTCTACTCCAGAATGTGTAGCCCTTACTGCAGTTTTGTTAGCAGCCAGTAGTTACATCTTTAAAGTACCTCATAAAAGTTGTATTGTGTCCAGTAATGCCAAACAAAACTTAGCATAATCATCCACAAATACCTCACATTTCTTTCACACTGCTCTCAGGCTTTTGTGTTGGCTGTACTGTAGTTTTTTAAGTTGGGCTTGTACTGTTTATTAAAAGCAAAATGGCTTATGAAGCATAGAAGCAATGTCCTTTGAATGTTGAAGGAATGTTGAAACTAAAATACCATGGTTGTCTTTTTCCCATCCAAAATATATGAAAGTATTTTAAGGAAGGGAAAGGGGGATACCTAGTCAGTTGCACAACTGAATACATTCAATCAAAATATGTCTTCCGCATTTAACCCAACCCCTCTGATTTAGAGAGGTGCGGGTGGCTGCCTTAATCAACATAGTCATCATGTCAATGCTCCTGCAACCTTTCCCTCTCCAGGTTTGAGAAGGATGTAGAAGACATGTTAGGTCATCGTCTTAACTGGTACTGGAAGATCATGTTGGCAGGAGTCAGTCCCATCCTTCTCATCGCACTATTCATCTTCTACATCATCAACTACATCCAGGGAGGAACGCCCACATACCAGGCCTGGAACAAAGAACTGGTAAGACCTCTCTTTTTATCTCCAATATCTTATCAATAACCCTGATATTACACTAACAAGCACAGCACTCGCCCAGAAAACTGGTAAGATAAGATAGTACTTTATTAATCCCCAAAGGGGGATTTGATTGTACCAGTCATACATGAATGAAAGAAAAGCACTGGCACAGACTATGCTGCTTCGGGTTTTATTCATGCACCCAGATACAATGTTAATCCCTGCCTGTCCTGTTGTCTCCCTCTCCTCCAGGGGAAGTCTGTGGTGACGGAGTATCCTCCCTACGCCCAAGCCTTCATCGGCCTCCTCCTAGCCTCCTCTGTCTGCTGTATCCCTCTGACGGCCCTCTACGCCTACTGTAAGAAGAGGAACCTGGCCAGTGGGAAGAGAGAGCGCACTGTCAGCACTGTGTCAGCGTAAAGACCGCCGTATTGGTTGACAGACGGAGTGACACAAGGTAGAGCTGTTACATTAGGGCTCTGAGACTGACTGGACCCGCTAGTTTTAGGATCGACTGATCGACAGCCTACCGTCCGTATCATGGTTGTCTTAACAGAACAGGACCTCAAGCCAAAGGCCCTCTTTCTCTCACCGGGGCAGGCTGGCTCGCCCGCTGTGCTGCTGGTGGACAGACTGGCAGACCTGTACCTAGCATTAGGCCTAGTCGTCCTTTGGCATCTAACACTTACTGGGAGATAATAGTGAACTTTTGTATTTTGATATTTTGATATTTTATCTTGTCAATGGTTTATTGCATTGTTTGAAGGCCCAGTGCATTCAAAACCGTGATTTTCCTGTGTTTTATACATATTTCCAGGCTATGAGGTTGGAATAATACTGTGGAATTGGTGTAAGAGCTGTTTGGTTGGATGGAGCTTGATGACATCACCAGGTGGTAAATTAGTTAATAGACCAATAAGAAAGAGAGTTCCAAACCTCTCTGCATATAACAGCTAGTTTTACTTTTTCCCCTCCCTACTCAGACCACTCCAAGACAGTCCTAGCAAAATTCTTGCTTGAGAAATTACTCTTTGCTCAGATGATATTTTGGTTTCTTTTTGACCATTTTAATTGAAAACAATCACAGTAAGGTACTTAATTGTTACCCATAAATGATTTGATATTGAGATAAAAACGGCTGCATTGGACCTTTAATGTTTATCTTTCAGTAGCAGATTTGTGAGACACAGTGTGTCAAGCCTCTTTATTTAAAGCTCCACAAAATGTTTAAGATATTTTTTCCCTTAAATTTCAGTATGGTGAAGTATTTTGTATCCCATTAGTATACTGTAGATATTCTGTAAATTACTCAATGAGTTGTGAGATAGGTTGAGTGCCTGGATGTACAAGGCAGACCTTTGTCTGACTCGGTTATGACAGTCGGATTGGTGTCAAATGACCAAGAACAACTTATAGCAATAGCTGTATGTGATATAGTGTTTGCAAACGTACTGATAATTTCACATATAACGATGACCAGGACCAAGACCATATCTATACCTATGGGCTTTGTTGTCAATCCACCATCAGTGACTTCTTACCAGGATCATAGTGGGGTGCAATGTAACAGAATGTTCAGATATATATATATTCTGTAGAACAGACACTATTCTCTGTCATATAGAATAGGAAATCGTGTCAGCTCTATAGGAAGAATTTCTTTCTGCAACGTTCCAGAACGTTTCACCTCCTGAACGCTTAAAAGTTTCTGTGCTCTTCTATATAGAAAATATTGTAGTGTTGCACTGCTGTCATAGAATCCACATCAACACAGCCCAATGGCTATGCAACAATGTGCTGTGCATATTCACGAACCAAAAACAAAATGTAGGCCTACTCTTTTTACAGTCAAATGTATGGGTTTGCACAGAAACAATTGCCAAACATGTAATAATGTGAGCACTTTTAATGAGAACAATTTCAAACCATCCATTTACAATAATGTAAACAGTGTGTAAATATATGTGTACTATGTTGAGTACAGAATGTTGTTAGTGTGAACCAAGTATTCTTTTAACTGTGTACCACAATGATGTGTTCATGTTTTGTACGTAGTATTTTCTATGGTGAAATTATTAAAGACATGAAGACATGAAGACATTTGAACCATTGGTATGAGTGAACAAGATACACATACAGCAGTCAGCCTGTTGCAAACCAGGCATTTCATTCAGTCCTACTTGCTAGTATCCAGCAAGGATGACACATTTCAATGGTATGAAATCTGGTTTTTTTTAACTGCTTGGTTTGACAAGCTATGTACTTTATAATACCATTGGATGTATAGACCACAGAACTATACTGAACAAAAATATAAACGCAACATGCAACAATTTCACAGATTTTACTGAGTTACAGTTTATATATGGAAATCGGTCAATTGAAATAAATAAATTAGGCCGTAATCTATGGATTTAATATGACTGGGCAAGAACGCAGCCATGGGTGGGCCTGGGAGGGTATAGGCTCACCACTTGGGAGCCAGGCCCACTCACTGGGGAGCCAGACCCAGCCAATCAGAATTAGTTTTTCCCCACAAAAGGGCTTTATTACAGACAGAAATACTCCTCAGCACCGCTTCAGACGATCCCGCAAGTGAAGAAGACGGATGTGGAGGTCCTGGGCTGGCGTGGTTACACGTGGTCTGCGGTTGTGAGGCCGATTAGACCTACTGCCAAATTCTCTAAAACGACGTTGGAGGTGGCTTATGGTAGAGAAATGAACATTAAATTCCCTGGCAACAGCTCTGGTGGACATTCCTGCAGTCAGCATTCCAATTGCATGCTCCCTCAAAACTTGAGATATCTGTGGCATTGTGCTGTGTGACAAAACTGCACATTTTAGAGGGGCCTTTTATTGTCCCCAGTACAAGGTGCACCTGTGTAATGATCACACTGTTTAATCAGCTTCTTGATATGCCACACCTGTCAGGTGGGTGGATTATCTTGGCAAAGGAGCAATTCTCACTAACAGTGATGTAAACAAATTTGAGCACAACATTTTAGAGAAATAACCTTTTTGTGCATATGGAAAATATCTGGGATCTTATATTTCAGCTCATGAAACATGGGACCAACACTTTACATGTTGCGTTTATATTTTTGTTCAGTATAGCATGAGATTATGTTTCTATGGGATAGACATGGGCCATCCGAGAACCACCTGCATTAAATAGCGTGTTTGTCTGAAGTTAAGCACTTTTTTTGCTCTGTCAAAGACATTGGAATGTAGTCGTCTTCAGGCTAGTGAGCTGAGGTTTAAGGGCTGAATATAAGGGGTTGTTCTACAAATAGAGTGCCTTTTGCGTCCCTTTGATATTTTAAGTAGACATTTTAAAGCATGTTACATTAAATGAAGTGCCCTTTAATACAAACCATATGGAAAATGTAATACATCAGATTTTTTATATTAATAAAGACGCGCTAAGGTGCCAAAAATCTGCATTTTGACATGGCCCACGTCATGTTTTTCTGACTTCTCTGAAGATCTTAACACACTTAACTCCCAAAATGTCCCGCAAATTTTCACTCACCATCACTGTAAAGCCCTGGTTATTTTGTTGCATTGACAAAGTCATTTCTGAAGATTATTATTTATTTCATGTGATTAGGGATTAATTTACATTTGTCCCTCATTTTAAAGTCAACCATAAACTAGACTCATTTTAATATGCTGAAAATATTTATATTAAAATATATATTTTTAAAGAATCATTGAACATCTAACTGGTTCTATGCTTTTTGGTCATTTTCTGTTCTTTTGTGGTAGAAAACTGATCTTCAACCCTGTGTCACGATCGTCTAACAGAGATGAGGACCAAGGCGCAGCGTGTTGAGCGAACATACTTTAATTAGTTAAAGTGCACACACGATACAAAACAACAAAACGACTCGTAACGTCCTAGGTAACAATGACCAACTGGAACAAAAACCCACAAACACCAAGGGAAAACAGACAGTTTAAATATGGCTCCCAATCAGAGACAACCAGCCACAGCTGACACTCGTTGCCTCTGATTGGGAGTCACTCAGGCCAACAAAGAAACAGAAGAACTAGAACCCCCAACATAGAAATATAACACAGAATGAACACACCCTGGCTCAACATATAGAGTCCCAGAGCCAGGGTGTGACAGTACCCCCCCCTAAAGGTGCGGACTGCGACCGCGCCTCCACTAGAACAAAACAGGGGAGGGCATTCCTCCTCGGCGGCGGTTCCGGCTCCGGCCTTGCCCACCACCCTCCAATAAACCCCCCATAGCGCCCCTGGTCCGGTCTGGCCCCGCTGGCTGGAGCTGAACTGGACGTAGCAGGAGCGGTTAGCTTCAGCTCCGTAGTGGAGCAGTTGACCGGTACCTTACCAGGCACCGGTGACCCAGGCACGGGTTGTGCTGGACTGACGACGCGCACCCCTGGCTTGGTGCGTGGAGTAGGAACGGGCCGGACCAGGCTGACGACTCGCACCCCTGGCTTGGTGCGAGTGGCAGGAACAGGCCGGGCCGGGCTGGCGACGCGCACCGTAGACTTGGTGCGAGTGGCAGGAACAGGCCGGGCCGGGCTGACGATGCGCACCCCTGGCTTGGTGCGTGGAGTAGGAACGGGCCGGACCAGGCTGACGACTCGCACCCCTGGCTTGGTGCGAGTGGCAGGAACAGGCCGGGCCGGGCTGGCGACGCGCACCGTAGACTTGGTGCGTGGAGCAGGGACAGGCCGGACCGGGCTGGCGACGCACACCGTAGGCTTGGTGCGTGGAGCAGGGACAGGCCGGACCGGGCTGGCGACGCACACCGTAGGCTTGGTGCGTGGAGCAGGGACAGGCCGGACCGGGCTGGCGACGCACACCGTAGGCTTGGTGCGTGGAGCAGGGACAGGCCGGACCGGGCTGGCGACGCACACCGTAGGCTTGGTGCGAGGGGCAGGAACAGGCCGGACCGGGCTGGCGACGCACACCGTAGGCTTGGTGCGAGAGGCAGGAACAGGCCGGACCGGGCTGGCGACGCGCACCGTACATTTGGTGCGAGGGGCCGTAACAGGCCGGACCGTACTGGGGACACACACCACTGGCTCTACCCCGGGATCTGGAACGGGCCGGACCGGACTGGTAACACACCCCAGTACTTCTCGCCGTGCCTCTAAACCTTCTTTCCCTTCTTTGACCAGTGGCCCCCGTAACCTGGTGGCCTTCTGAATACGCCCCTTTTCTGCCTCTGTCAGCCCCGTCGTCCATGCCCTGTGCCCCCCCCTAAAATGTTTTTGGGGTTGCCTCTCGGCCGTCTCATTTCCCGGCGCTTCCTCCCATGTCCAGTCTGCCTGCTCCTGGACACGCTGCTTGGTCCTTGTATGGTGGGTTTTTCTGTCACGATCGTCTAACAGAGATGAGGACCAAGGCGCAGCGTGTTGAGCGAACATACTTTAATTAGTTAAAGTGCACACACGATACAAAACAACAAAACGACTCGTAACGTCCTAGGTAACAATGACCAACTGGAACAAAAACCCACAAACACCAAGGGAAAACAGACAGTTTAAATATGGCTCCCAATCAGAGACAACCAGCCACAGCTGACACTCGTTGCCTCTGATTGGGAGTCACTCAGGCCAACAAAGAAACAGAAGAACTAGAACCCCCAACATAGAAATATAACACATAGAATGAACACACCCTGGCTCAACATATTTAGAGTCCCAGAGCCAGGGTGTGACACCCTGTTACCCATAGATGGGCTAGAAATGTTTTAACAAGTTCAAATGTATTGTTAATCTTGCAGGGAGTTATGGCTGATT